TTTAAATAATTTTCATACAAGTATTAGTTTATAATATTTAAAATGAAATTAGTTTTGATTCTATTTATTTTAATAATAATGTAAAATTAAAAACAAATAATACATTTCAATAACTAGATTAAAAAAATTAAAAATCAATACATGACTCGACTAAAATTGAATTTTTTAAAATAATAAGCAAAAAATTCTCTTCATAAATAAATAATATACGAAGTATTATGAATTTGTTTATGATACTTTTAAATGAAGTTAGTTTGATTATATTTATATAAATATTGACACCTACTAAATAAATACTTTCTTCGGCTATTATGAAATTTCTTATTTTTTAACACATAATATACCACCTAAATTGAAAAATAGAAAACATAATATCAACATTTTGGTAAATTGTGATCTGAAGGTCCACATGTGAAATGTGAACCTTCTTACACTTTTCATAGTTTAGAGAGTAAATATTTTAAAAAAAAAGATCCAATTTTTTTTATGATTTTATTACACCAAGGTCTATAAAATGAGCAAGGACCGTAGGACTGCGGAAAAATTTGCTTTATAATAAAACTTTAAATATCCCCCCCCCACCAAAAAAACTTTCAATTAATAAATAAGATACATTTTTTGCCGAGCAATGCTAGGTTCACAAACATGATGCTCACAAAATTCACAAACTTACTATTTATGATTTAAATTTTCATTTTAAAATTATTTTAGACTATTTAATTTTTTTTGTTGGAATTCACAATTAGTAAGTTTGTGAAATTTGTGACCATTGTGTTTGTGAACCAAGCATTTCCCTTTTTTACCTCTAAATCAATGTCCTGCGGGTGTTTGTTTATGATATGTTATAACTAAGGTAGTTTTGATTCTAATTATTGCAATATTGATGTAAAATTAAAACATATAAAATATTTTAAAAATAACACTAAATTATTTATAAAATAAGCGATGACTAGACTATAATTGTGTAAAAATAAAAAAAATACTATATGTAATTTCATAGTTCGAATATATTAATTGTTATGGTTTGATTTTAGTACTAGAAAATTTAAATTCAAAAATATATCATTACCCTTTAATTTAATTATAGTTTTGAAACAAAAAATAAAGAAATAAAAAAACAAAAAAAATAACTATGTAATTTTGGTTAGAGATTAAAAATTAGAGATCTATTAATACTCGCGCTTGAAGGTATTAAAGAAGAATTGGAAAATATGATTTTTTGACAAGGTTTATTTGACTGAAGAAGAATATTGCATTATTAATGTGTTTTTATAAAAAGATAATTTAATTTTTTAATAAATATCAATATGAAATGCATGGTCGGTGCATATACAAGTTAAAATGCATTTACGGTACCGATCATTATGGTCAATTTGTAAATTGTAGGTGCTACAGTCAAATCTTTAATATTATGGTCAATTTGTATTGTTTTTNTTAAATGAAATCAAATATTCGAGAATCTCAAGCCATAAAATAGTTTTGAAAAAAGGGCTACCGATTATATATGCTATTGAGAAACATTGACCAAATATCTGAATTGTGTGATGAGACAAGACTAATCGCTGAAGAGCTACGCAATAATGTTATCGGTGCAATTGTGATTTTGAAAAAACGGGTCGAGAAAAATGTTTACATACCTAGAATGAATTTCGTACCATCTGATCTATAATTAATCTTAAAATTCTAGAAAAGACAATTCCCAATGTTTTATGTTTTGCTATGACTTTTAATAAAGTCAAAGTCAAACATTATCATTTGTTGGATTATATTTAACTAATTCGGTGTTCACTTATGATCAACTTGCAGTGATGTTTCGCGAGTAGAAAGAAAGACAGAATTAAAAATATTAGTTTTAGATGATAACGAAAATCCTTGCAACTACACCAAAATTGTTATATACCCAAAAGTCTTTCAAAATATAGATTTAGAAAATCTTTGAGATGTTCACTTTTGAATTTGAATATAAGAATATTCATTACAAAATATTTAATACTAAATTATTTATTTTATTTTGTTTTTAATGTCTTAGTAATAAAAAAACATATTATATATTTTTTTATAAATTCAATTTAAAATATTGCATTGAAGTTAATTTACAGAAGTGTCAAAAATTTCGTCTAACCCCGTGCGTTGCACGGGTTAAAATACTAGTATATATGTAAAAGAGAGTTGAGTAGTTGTAGTGTTGACATGTGTCATGCCACATGTGCATCCACATGTGCATTAACTAATGATGTGGATATATGTATTTTAATTCATTGGTCCATTTTGATTTTTTTTAAAAAGATCTTTGAATACATTTGTATAAAGCTTTTTCATTTTTTAACAATTCTATAAATATATATTTCATCATTGTAAAATATACACCGTAATATATACTCCCTCCGTCCTAAAACTTTCTTCCCACTTCCTCTTTTTTCTCCGTCCTAAAACTACCTTCCCATTAGAAAAAAAGATGACAAATGACATTAATACTCTCATGTATTTACACCAATTATCTTCTAACTCTATATTTTGAATGATTGCAAAAAAAAAATTTGCAAAAAATCTTTTTTAAGGAGGGTAAAATTTGAAGTCAAAGCCAAAAATTAAAAATGGGGAAAAGTCAAACCGAGAAAAAAGTTTTAGGACGGAGGGAGTATATATATATATATATATATGTATATATACATATATATACATATATATATATATATATATATATATATATATATATATATATATATATAAAATTATTTTTATACTATCGACAACTTATTTTAGTTTATTACTATTAAAAAAATGATTATATAAATTTAGTCACATATGCATATTTATTAATTAAACAATTTGTTTCAAAATTTTATCTTATTACATTATTTATTTTGTTGCTACAAATATTTTTTAACAAAGTAAATAAAATAAAATTGCTTTAGTTGAAGGGTGATAACTGACAAGTGACATTATGACACCTATACATTCTCTAATGATGTATCATTATGTAATTAATCCACTTTTTATTAAAATATTTTATTAATTAAAACTATTTTTATTAGTACTAAATTCCATGACCATTAATTTCGTAGAATATTGTATATTTTGTCACTATTAAAAAACTAAAATAACTAAAATTATATTTATACAATCTCAAAAAATTTAGAATATATACGAGCCCGTGCGAAGCACGGGGTTAACACTAGTATACAGTATTTCTTATATATTTGTTGAATACAATTTCACATCCTTTTGTATTTATTTATTTTTGTATTTATTCAAAACATACATATTATATAAAATACTTTCACAATTGAATACTACACAATGCTCATTTCAATTCATATAATATTCACTTCATACATTTACGTAGTATTTTTTAACATGCTCTTTATGAAATACAGTATATGTATACACATTCCATATATACATAAAGCGCATCACATTTATATAAGCACTATTCATCTTCTTAGTAATGAAGAAAAGTTTCTCGAGGTTTTCACACTTTTGAAAAAGGCGATGAATAGTGACTGGTGTAACGAGTTACAACGCACGTTCAAAAAGAAACTCAACCAAAATTTGGAGTGGGCAAACAAAGTAGGCGTCAAGGCAACCACGAAACTCCAAAAATTAGTGAAATTTTATCAGAAGAATTGGATGTATAAGAACGATACAATCGGGTGTACCATATAATTTGCACTCAATTGTCTTAAAAATTTTTATACATAACTTTTAAGTAATTTATGAAAAGATCATTCAAATTCAAATGTTAGGTGAAGTTAATTATCATGATAAATGGTTGCACAAAAAAAGGTAAACCCTCCACCCGGGGGTCTCTCACACCCCTGTCTTGGGTTGGTGAAAAAGGTAAATTGCGGGATGTGTTTCAACTAGTCAAGAAGGACAACATGATTTTTGTCATGGCTAATCTCACCTACAATAGGTCGAATCCAAAGATAGATTTGAACCCCACCTTGTAGGTCACCAGCAAGGCTCACCAAGTGCTTTTGCCAGTTGAACTATACTCCGGGGACATGATAAATGGTTGCACATTTTTTTAAAAGGTTCAATTGGTACACAAAATTGATGGAATTGAATTAGTTTTGAAATTCTAGGGAATTGAATTCAATGGAATTGAATTCTCCCATTCTAATACATTTTTTGCATTGCCGATTCGAAATCCACGTATTTTTGTTCTACTAGAATTGGAATTGAAGTTTATAATTCCAATTATATGACTTTAATTTCGTGTACCAAACGGAGCCAAAGTATCAATTCAAATGTTTGGTGCAAGCCGAGTATCATGATACATTCCAAGTTGATGGAGGTTTAGTTCACCAAAAAATAAGAACATGAACTGTAATCATGATGGGAAAGAGTATTAGAGAGACCAAATTTTTGTAGTCCATATTACCCTTAAAATATGAGTATGATCCCTTCTACTGGTCAAGGGAGACCCTAATCTTGTAGGTCAATTATACCTGCTGTTTACATTTTCCTTATCAAATGCTTGTGGATTAGGGACTCACATATGATATACCCCAATGTAACAAATAAGATATACCCTATAATAAAGTGTTCATGTTCTTCATTGTACATCTGAGAAGGATGACTAAACATCATGAAGTTATACACAAATTTTAGTTTGCTCAATAATATACCATTGTGGATTGGATCACCACCAGGCCATCTATATGTACAAATGATCCCGAACAAAGTCTGAAACAGTATGGGTGTTAGGGTGTCCCCAAGTACGCGAAGGGATACATTTCAGAGACAGAAAGCAGCACTTGTTTGAAGAATCCAATGCAACATGGCTATAAATCATCATGGTGACCAGTTCTTGGTGACTGTCCCTCTTCTGCTGCATGAATCTCTCCCATTTGCACGCCCGATGAACCATCCTTCGCAGCCTCCTTCTCCTCCTTGGAGGCTGTTGCTGCTACTGTAGCTTTCAGCTCCTTCCTTCGTTTTGCCTTCAAAGCCCATCCAACCAGGCTGGCCCGAACGTGCTCGTCGAATATCGACTTCTTGAAGTGGGTTCCCATCTACACATTGCGAGTTTGACAACATTTCATCCACCATACATAAGGGTAGTGTCAGGGGATCAAGTCAACCAAAAGTTAAAGCTTGTGCTTTGTCAATGAAGAATTGTTCAATGAAGTTACCTACCTGGGTGACAATGGCATAAAGTGGCAAAGTGCTGTAACTGCAAAGCACTTGAATGATAACTCTGCAAAGAACATTTCAATCACAAAATAAAGACCGTAGGGTGAAAGAGGGGAGGGACCGAGGGAGTAATTAATTGATCATATCATACTCTCTTTGTCCCTACGTTATATTCTTACTTCTTTTTCTTGTTTGTCCCTAAACTATAGGACAAGGGAGTATATACATACCCTATGACAAGCCTCGGAACAATGTACTGGACTTGCCCCATTATGCAGGAACCAAATCCATATTGCAGCTACAAAAGTGAATAAAAACATGCACTATCAGAGCCCGGTTTTTCTAATACCAAGGGCCAATGTCATTAAATGAGAACAGTATGTTTTAGGGTCCTCCTGTGATCCGTTCGACCACGAAGTGGTTCGTACCCCTGAACCTCCCTAACCCGCTTCCTATCCCACCCCCTTGTGGGGGACAATCCACTATCAAGTTTATACTTGACAATGGATTGTGTCTCCCACATGGGATAGGCTAGGGGGACACTTCGGAATCAAACAGAGCAGTGTGTGTCTCATATATGACACTAGGGTTGGATGTCAAAAGAACCTATTGCATTTATATTATACGGTTAATTAGGTGCTTGAGTTGGCATATGTGATTGGGGTCGAATGAGAGTGGATGAGTTGATACCCATATCCAAAAGAAGAAGGCGAACTCAAAAGCATTCTGGAAGAGAATGAAGTGAATGAAATGGAGAACGATACGGGGGCGGTGAAACCAGAAGTGCTCATCAGAAGGCTGCACAACCAAATCACCCTCTATGGCTGCATGCTTCTCTGCTACCTCATGAGCTAATTGTATTATTACATGCTGCAACTTTGTACCTACAGCAAGTAGGAGCTGGGAAAGAAACAACAAAACAAAAATGTAAAGAAACTCCAATAAACCAGAACTACAAACCCTTTAAAGGTCAAAATGCTTTTTTTAGAGGTTATGGTCACTACTACATTCATTTTCCAAGTGTAATTTTAGGTGTTTGAGTTAGGTTGTGGAGTCTGATGGAATATTTAATGTACTGCTAAATAAGGAGTATTTCTCATGTGTTACCACAAATTCCTTTGTGTTTCTGTTGTTCTATGTGCTCTTCATTCAGATTGAGTGTGTGAATTGTGCAGTCCTAAGAGTTCGCATATGTACTAAGAAAGCAGTAATTTTCCCCAAATCCATTGTAAAAAATACGGAGTAGTTTAAAATGAAAAAAATATCAATGTTGATGTTTTCAAGTGCTATGTACACTAAAATCAGTGGAAGGCGAAGGGCAATGGTAGAAAATGATATATTAATGCTTTATTGATATCGTAAAAGGACCCAAAAAAATGATAATTCAAAATGATAGTTACGGGCGGAAATTAATGTCACTCACTGCAAAAGGAATGAATGCTATCCAAAAATATGTATGCCACCCTGCAAAAACGTATCTGGTTAATCACTTCTTAAATCTAATGATAATTGACCTAGGTGTAGTTTGGCAGACCGTATAACAATATATGTAATGTAACATTAACAAAACAATAAACTCAATAGAATACCACAGAAGTTGGGTAACAATAAATGTAATATACTAATATGATCAAAAAAATATTTTCAATGTACCCGAAGAGCAAAGCAGTAATACATTTGATCACATCTTACCAAACCACACCTAAAAGCATGATAAAAAAGCAGTTTAACTCGAGCTTGTAGTTGCATACCGTTGATATTCAGCAACAAGAACAAAATGACAAATAACCACAAGTACCAGCTGCAAAATGTTAAAGAAACCACTCAAGGTGATGAATACAATGTGAAAGGATTCGTACTAATTGCTGAAATTAAAATAAGATTAGATTGTGAACTCTATCATTATCACATGCCTAATGCCCACAACTTTCTTGAAATCATCTTCCAATGCACGCATCATGTACTTGTGAAAATTGAACTTCGGGTTCCCCCTGCAATGTGTCTAAACCAGACCAAACCAAACAAAACTAGTAAATCCCACAAAGAGTAGGGTTTGGGGAACGATGTACACATGCCTTATCTCTAACTTGAGTAAAGGGACTGTTTACGAAAGGATGCAATGTGTCTCTAAAGGGAAATTTAATATGAACATATAAGATGCAACTAAACAAAATTAGGGGCATTAGGCCTTGTTTGAGAAAAAGATTTTCAATTAGTGTTAGCATTTTGGATAATTTTTTAATCCTACGGATTAATTTTGAAAACACTAAAGCTAAATGTTGTCATTAGATATCCTTTTCAAAATGCTAAAGCTAAACGCTTAGGTTGTTAAAAACATGCCCTTAATAGACTCTTTGTTGACAGATAGTTACCATAATGAACCCTGTACGAAGTGCAATATAATCTGATTTGGCGACAGAACCATAAAAGTGCTTAGCGAAAGAGTGCTGCAAAATGAAGGTAAACCAAAGTCATTATTTTTTTAGGTAAAAAGAGAACATGATATTCTTTTTTTCTATATTATTCCATTTGTAGTCCTTTTTTTAATTCAATGCTTGTCAAAGGGAAATTTACAAAGTACAAAATGCCTTTGCTATCAGAAAATTGCTTTTGAGTTGAATAAACTTTGCCAAACAATCCCTATATTTCTTGATCAAATTTAAAATTTATCTTTCCAAGTAGGGGTAATCAGGTTCAACCGGGAAAGATATAATGAACAACAGCAGCATACCAACCAGCCCCAGATGGTTGAGCGTTTACCCACGCCCACAAATCGTGTCCTGATGAAATCATGTTGGCGGACATCTGTGAATCCTGGTTGCAGATCTACATAGAAGCACCCACATTTATGAGAAAATTAATTTACAAAGATGCGCATATGTTTATGATGATTTCTCCATGGTTATTAATTTCTATTTTAGAATCCAACCTTCATCGTATACCCATTTTGTTTGTTTTTATGGACAATATAAAACTCTTATTGTGAATTTGGTTGTGCTGGCCATGTGTGCACCTATTGTCCTGACCATTTTCCCTCCCTTCTCCCTCTCTCAATCCCCCCATCCCCCCAACCAAACACACCCTGATACTCAGTATAATCCCTTCCACGGGTTTGGAGGGGTTTTAGCTGAAAATGAATAATCCATACCAGATCCCCTGAAAATGAATAACGAGCAAGGAAAAATGCATTAAACCATGAGATAGGATGAATGATCCATACCTGGTTCGGTCTCAAAGTTAGCTTCTGCAATTCCATCCTCCCAGTGCTTCCATTGGCGTATCTATATATACCATATGTAAACGGTAATTATTTCAGAAGTTACACTGCAACAAAAGGTGGAGGGTTGATGCAAATTGATCAAAGTAGTTATTGTTGAAAGTTTGGGCTGACCTTTGCACCTCCAATTATAATGGTGAGAAGGGTAAACGTGACGTGGACGATGGCCAAAATGAAGATGAAGATGTGCAGGTGATGCAATGCTTCCAAAGATAGTAATGGTACTTTATGCTGCAAAAAACAAGTATATGTGCTACATTTGTTAAAGGCTTATTTGGTTGGCTTAATTTTTTTGGGTTTTCCAAAAAAAAGTATTTAGTAAGATTTATATCAAACATAAAATCAAGTCAAAAGCTACTTATTTTGATGATATGGTGAGTAAGAAAGAACATTAATGTGCATCTTCAGTCTTCACATCATATCTTGACCAGTAATAGCTTAAAACTATCCACTTATTCAAACACGCCCTAAAAGAAACAATAACAACAAATTTGGGGCAAAGTGAAAGAAACTTCAAAATGGTTATGCGACCTTGGCAGCACAATAACCAGCGCCTAGCACTCGCTCTACAGGCTTTTCCCAACTGTTGAACTCTTTGGCAGAAGAAACAGGAGCCAATTCAGCAGCCAAAAAGGCTTCTTCCTGAGCTAGGGGGCATGGGAGCATGTGGTGCATTGTGTTGGGAGGCACACACATCTTGTTTATACGAGCTTGAAACACCGTAAGTAGCAATGATATGAACCCCAACAGCATCAATTCTGCACCCATCCACACACACACACTTGTTTAAAAATTCATGTATAAATATACAAATGCAAAACTATATATAAAGTTTGTAATGCTAAACTCAAACGAGCAACTTGATCTATTAATAAGGGTAAAAAGAAGCAGAAAAAAAAAATTAAAATTTGTTTTCACGTGTTAAGAATGGATCTGAAGTTGATAAAATACAAAAAAGTGCAAACTAAACACAAACTACTCTCCTATTACTCTATGTCTCTATCATATTACTCTGTCAGTCTAAATCAAAATGGCACATTAAACTTCCCTTGCTTCTTACTTTGTACGAAGTTTTGGAAAGTAAGTGCAACAATGAATCTAGGGTCTAATGGTAACAAACTCTCTGTTTTCATGGATAAGATTGCATATCTTTACCCTCAGACTCCGATGAAGTTGGGATTACACTGTTCGTTGTTGTTGTCGTATTAATACTATGAACTAAATAAAAGAAAAGAAATGGGGTACCCAATGGCATGGCTCGCACACAAAAGGTATCGGGAAGTTATCACATTTCCTTTCACTTACAAATGATGGGGTATCAACTTGAGTCCCGAAATTGAATGTTTAGGGAAAAAATAACATAAATATAAGTGTAAAATTAACTCCATTAGTAGCTTCCTTTTATGAGTTGCCCAAAAAAACCATCCAAAACTTGCAACCGGACACAAAAGGCAGAGAACTAGAGAGTAGAGACTCTACTCATAAATATAGCCTTGCATTTAGTTTCATTTTCTCCAAAAATACGAATGCGTATGTAAAGGAAAAGAATGACCATTCCAGTAAGAACAAAGCGTAAAATTTAACCATTTGAATACATAAGTGATGAAGTGAGAGGTGTTAACCTTCTTCAACTATCTGGAGAGCTTCATAGAGAGGCTTTTGATTCTTCTTCTTCAGATACTGAATGGATAAATTGTGAGCACATTATGCAAAAAAAAAAATTTAAAAAAAGTATACTCCATATATAAAACACTAATGGTTTCAATTGGCACAAACCGCTCCAGTAAAGTGGAAGAGGCGTTCAACGGCAAGGGAGATGGAGACGATGACGGAGCAGACGGCAGCAACCACCCAAGTCGGCGAATACTCCAACGTGAGCTCTTCTTCCTCTCCCACCCCGCTCATTCGTATTTCTTCCTGTATTGATCCCAAACCGATCGATTAAAATTGAGCCCAGAAATTAACGCTAATCTCCAACTCCTTGATCCTGAGCTTTTCTGAAACAATATTACTCCGTATGAAATGAATGCGGCGATCAAACGGGAAAAACAAAAACGTGTGTTTTGGGGATTGAAATTAACGAGCAGCAGAGGATAGAAAGGTTTGAAATTGACGGGAGATTTGGATTGGATTTGAGGTTAATTAATCTTACCCGAATGAAGATGACAATTGACGCGATCCGACCTTCTTCTTCTTCGAGCTGCTTCGTTGGACGTTGAGGAAACATGCAGATGGCGAATGCGTTTTTTGTGTGTGCCTGCGTTTCCCCCCAGACTCTAATGCGCGCTTCCGTTACAAAATTACTGTGTTTAAAATCAATTCAATTTTTTTAAAATAAAAAAGAAATATTTGTACTAGATAGCAGTGAAACATAACTCATTTTCTTAAATAACACTTAAATTATTTTACTCTTTAAATAACACATAATAATGTTTAGAAGGAGAAATAATATTCAGTGGTGACAAATATTTATCTGAATAAAGACTAATGAATAATGACTAAAACTACTATATTGAAGAAAAAAATAAATATAATGCTCATTAGAGAAAGTCATTATGTTCAATAGTTTCGTCTAATTGATCGTCATAAATAATTCAAGTATTATTTCCCATTAAGTAGACCTCTACTTTTTAAAGTTGTGAGCATTATAAACTTAAGAAAGTAAATAAGTACTCTGTGTGTTGTCTTCATTTAATTTTCATATGTTGCGTTCTTGACATGTTGATATTGTTAGTCTTTTGAGTTCCTCATTGATTCTTGCTTTTGAATAAGTTGCTTTTCCTTTTAAAAAAATAATACGTATACCATTTTGATCGGCCAGGCTCAAACATAATAAATATTTTTTCGAGGAGCTCAGTACTAAAATAAATAAAACACGTGTGAACAAGCTTCAACCTTTCATTAATGACCTTTAAACTCAAATCATGTGTCGTGTACACAGTACACTCCAATATTAATAAAATTCACCAAAAGGCTCATGGTTTTCTCCTGATTGGATTTCCACGTTAAAACTTGCGTGTTTGTATTTTTGTGTATTTTGTTAAACGAGTTTATCGTTCTTGTCCGACTAAGACCGATACATCGGTAGAGATAATTTATATAATCAACCACAAACATAAAATTTAATACTCTATCTATTCAAAAAATATATTCACGTATACTATTCGCATGGTTAAACTTTATCTACTTTGTTCGTTTATGTTTATTGTCAATTTGATAAAATAACATAATCATATATCCTCTAGTTTTGTAGATCTTTGATATATTTTTTTAAAATGTAATTTTTATTATTTAATTCCACATTATTTTTTATATAAAATGATTTGAATAACTTCAGTCAAACATTGTAAAAAGTTTAATTTTAAACTACGGGTATATCTAAAATTTTTAAAGAATTAATTACAGAGTTCCAAACAGAGCGTGAGCTGAGGAGCTACCACATTTGGGTGGAAGGATATTTGTAGGGAGTATATAGTAAAACCGATGAATGATTGAACGCAGAAAAAACAAAACAGGGAGAGCCTCACACTTAAAAGCTAAGTCAAAAAACCGGGAAAGGGTTTGACAATGGAGACGATAGGGTTTTTGGGAATGGGAATAATGGGGAAAGCTATGGCCATTAACTTGCTCCGCCATGGCTTTAAGGTCACTGTTTGGAATCGCACTCTTTCCCGGGTAAATAATACCCCTCTCCTAGTCAATGATCAATCTATTCATATATATTGCTAAACAGATTTTTTGTTCCTATGAATTTGGTCTCGATGAGTTGAATTTATATCTCTTTCTTTGCTATGTATAATGTATTGTTGGAATGGTCGCTGATACTCCATGACTATTTCAAGTGGTTGAACTTGTTGGGTTGAAAGTGCTTTCATTTTTATTATGAAAAACAATGAATTTAGAATGGCATCGTGTAATTGTGTTTTGTGTAGAATATAGAGGAAAGAGATATATATGGGCCACACAATCTTCTATTTAAAACGAGGGTGGAAGAAAATTTTGGGACAACCCAGACTGGAGGGTAGGAAATAACATATAGTAGTAGTAGGAAAATAACGCATAGTAGTATTAGTTGGAAAAACCGTCATGGAAAATAGAAATTTGTTGAACAAAAATAAGAACATTACTTGTGTTGGAAGTGAGAGTGCATAAATTTACTAAAACATAATTAAAGATATAAATTATTTATTTTGTTTAGTGGTAAATGTGATAATTGATGTTGCAATTATTTAGGAACAGAGGAAGTATATATGGAATGAGCGTGGGCTTGTGGGATTTGAGGGGGGGGGGGGTCCCTTGGATATGCCCATTTTGTGTTGGTATAGAACATACGTAGTATTTGGCAGTGTTAAACATAAGAACTTTGAAAAATGCTTGAGATTACAATATTGATTCCCTCAACGAAGCTAGCAGTTGTTGGAGTGATAGCTCAAATGGAATTTTAAATTCTCACAAGTCTTGAAGCATTTAATTCTTGGTTTTGTTTAGTAATAGCTTCCATGCCAAGCAATTGTGTAATAATCTAAGGATCCTTTCATAAATGCAGTGTGATGAGGTAGTCAAACTTGGAGCTTCTTTAGGGGAGACTCCTGCAGCAGTAGTTAAAAAATGCAAGTATACAATTGGAATGCTCGCCGACCCTTCTGCAGCTCTCTCGGTTTGTCAAGAACTCAACTTCACAATGGGATTCAAGGTTACTATATTGTAAGATTGTCTAACTTAATTGTGTTTTGATCACTGGCTAGGTGGTTTTTGACAAGAATGGTGTTCTTGAGGAAATATGTGATGGAAAGGGTTATATAGACATGTCAACTGTTGATGCTGATACTTCTTCAAAAATCAACGAGGTAAAGATTCCTATAGACCTATACGAAAACTTACTTTATGTTATAAAAAATGTCATATTTGAACTGAAGAAGACAACTTTCATTAGGCTTCATATTTAATGTTTTTTCTTTTCAAATAGGAAGTCCCAAAGAACTTCTATACACACCTGTACCTTGGTAAAACATAATCCACCTGTTGCAGATTAATAGTCCACATTTGGTTTGGCATGAAGTTTAAGAAAAGTGATGTTGTGTGGTTGAAAGTGATGTATAGGAGAGAAAATATGAGCCACATAAACTTTTTGAAAAGTGGAAAGAGGACTATTTTTTGTGGCTTCCCAAAAAAGAAATGAGGACTATTAATTCAGGACATAGTGAGTAATTCTTTTTTGCTTTTGGAGGTAGTATTAATGGAAAATGAAATAAAAAATTATTTTAAATGTTAGGCAGTCAACGAGGAAATAAGAGTGAGTTGTTTGAGTGATGAATAGTCAGCATGATATGGAAATGAGAGAGAGGGATTAGTTAAATAATTTCTTAAAAATGAGATTTTTTAGAAAGTGCAACTAAATCCAGAAAAGGAGTAGATGAAAAGAGAAATGATGGGGGGGGGGGGGAAATAATGTCATAAAAGAGCAGAGTGGCTTATGTTTGTGTTTCTATGAGGTGCTTGCAGGCAATTATATCTAGAGGTGGTACTTTCCTTGAAGCCCCAGTCTCGGGCAGCAAAAAGCCTGCTGAAGATGGGCAGTTGGTTATCTTAGCAGCCGGGGAGAAGGTATACACATGTCCTATTCCATATTTCATGCAATGATGAATCCAGGGGGGACCACCCGCCCCAACCGTCTAAATATATTTGTATGCATAACTTGCGTATATACATGTGGTATACCTGTTCCATTTTGATAATAACATGTGTTAGTGTACCGGAAAATTTTTCTCTACACATGTGGAGTGTCTAGTGTTTAAATTTCTTAACCGATGACTTATCTATTTTTCTCTTTGATTAGTATGTTTATATATACTAATTAACATTTTAGTTAACAATAGCTGCAAGTCCGCAACTGATTAAGTGGAAAGCCCCTGCCTCCCTATTGAATGGGGGGGGGGTGGAAGTCTCGCTTTGATTAACTTATATAGTATTTATTTTTTCTTTGAAAGTTCATAATAACTGTTAACTTCAAAGTTTTGAAAATTTCAATTTATTGCATACTTTGTGAGATGCAAGTATTGCCTTTCTAGTGTTTGCTTGACACTCAAGGCCAAAATTTTTGTATGCATCATTGATCCTATGGTGCATTTCTTCTAGTATTGATGAATTTGTAACATTTCTTTTCCCTGTTGAATGTAGGATTTATATGATCAAGTACTTCCTGCTTTTGATGTCTTGGGAAAGAAATCATTTTTCTTGGGAGAGGTTGGGAATGGTGCAAAAATGAAACTTGTTGTTAACATGATAATGGGCAGGTAACGAGAGTTGTGCTTCTATTTTCGCTGCATTCGTTTATATTTTTATTTTTCTAGATTGTATTCGTAGACAATGGTGCTGTTCATGAACATGTGTGCTCTTTTAACCTACATATATACAAGGAGTTTTTTTGTGCCATTTACTATGAACTCTTCATAAAGTGCATGTTTTCCCCCAAACTTTCAAAAATGCACTATTAGTCCTTATACTTTTGATAAAGTGCGTGCTTTAGCCCCTAAGCTCGATAAAAAGTGCATGTTTTAGCCCCTAAACTCTTTGAAAATTGCATGTTTCTCCTCCGAACCTTCAAAAGTACATCATTAGTCCCTATACTTTTTGTAAACTGAAAGACGTTATTCAATGAAGAGAAATTCTTAGAGTTTCAACCATACACCATTCTTACAAATATAGGATTAATGGTGCACTTTTGAAAGTTCGGGGGAAAAACATGCACCTTTTAAAGAGTTTGCGGGTAAAGCATGCACTTCATGAAAAGTATAGGGACTATTGGTGCTTTTTTGAAAGTTCAAGGGGAAAACATGCACTTTTTAAAGTGTGTTAAAATTCCAGCGGGGCAAGAACAACGGATAGAGTGTCGGGTAAAATTAACCACTTGCACATAAAGTCGGGATCCACAATTCTAACCCAAAAGCTTAAGCTGATAGGTAGGGCTTCACCCTTCAATATATGCAAGTGATACTCATCTTTATTTTCCGATGTGGGAACTCCAACACTCTCCCGCAAGTGGTAACTAGCCTGGTCTAGTTAGCACTTGGACAAACGGGTCTAGCATCTCAATCTCTTATAGTTAGCCCACACAACGGGCGGTGGCATCTCAATCTCTTTTTAGCCAACTCAGCCCAAACCACAGATGGGTAGCTCATTTTTGCTAAACCCACATCCAAACAACCAGGAACAATCAAACCCGGACCGGACCTGCTCTGATACCATGTTAAAATTCCAGCTGGGCAAGAACAACGGATAGAGTATCGGGTAAAATTAACCACTTGCACATAAAGTCGGGATCCACAATTCTAACCCAAAAGCTTAAGCTGATAGGTAGGGCTTCACCCTTCAATATATGCAAGTGATACTCATCTTTATTTTCCGATGTGGGAACTCCAACAGTTTGTGGGTAATTGTGGAAAAAAAACTTTATTTACAATGTTTTGTTTTGATGCATCTCAATTTGAGAAATTCTTTCTTTTTCTTACTCGTTGTCCATTGCCCTCAATCTCAAGTGTTCTAGGTAATGGAGTGGAGGGGAGAGTGTATTGCCCTTATTTTTCATGCTCAATGTGTTTTGTTAAAGGAAGTGTTGAAAAGTAAAATGTATGTAACTGAAATTTGTTTAGCGGAGAGAAAACGTGTGGCCACTTGTTTCATTCCTTAATTGGGAAAAAGAGAAATGCCTAGTTTATTCCGGGAAGGACAAAAAGGAAAATGAAAAGTTTATTTTGGGATGGATGAAATAAATATTAAATTCAATTTTAAATTATCTTTTGAAAATTTTAAATACGGAGTAAAATTAATTTGTATTTTTATATTCTCTCCGTTCTTTCATCATCTCCGAGGGAGCGATTTTGACTTTGGGTGTGATGGAATAAAGCAAAATGGTTCTTTAAATTGTTCTTTTTCAGTAGTGAAGTAGCAGTTAGTCAATGCAACTTTCGACGCTCATCATGGGTCGTCCTGAAGAGCCGCTCTTTGCTTTAAACATAGGACTGCACACATCCGACCCCCCCTACTTCGCAATGGGTGGGAGCCTTTGAGGCATTGGGGTAATGTTGTTGTATATTCCCTCCGTCTTGAAAACAACTTTACACTTTCCTTTTTGGACGTCTAAAAATCAACCTTACACTTCTCCATTTTTCTTTTAGGAAATAAATATACGGGCATCTTTATTTCTCTCTTGCAGTTAAATTTCAATTGCACAATTTTCACTTTAGACCAAGCTTCTGTCACTTTTCAACACTTTTCTTTAACTCCGTGAAATCATACTGGCAAGTTCATTTAAAGATGGAGGGAGTGTATATAATCAATAGAGACAAGATGTGGTCGGATGTAAAGTAGGAAGAGAGATGAGTCCACAAACAATAAGAAACCATTTTCCTTTCAAACTTCCCTAATTACAGAAAAGGGCAATATGAATGTGTGGGGAGCAGAACGGACACTGATTTGAAGCTAAATTTACTTTTTCTAATATCCTCTTTTGTGCAGCATGATGAATGTATTTTCAGAAGGACTTGTATTGGCTGACAAAAGTGGATTGGAACAACAAACTCTCCTTGATGTGTTGGTGAGAAAACTGGTTACATTTTCTTCATAACCAAACAAACCCAGTATGAGTGTTTCTATTATGCTCCATAATTAAGTAGTGGGTCATGTGAACCTCGCATAATTAAATTAATAAAAAAAAGAAACAAAAGTGATTACAAGCCAAGTCGAAAATTATGTCCGTGTATTTTTAGGCGCTTCTAAGAATTTGCCACCCAGTATATCTAGCCCAAAAGTAAGGGTCTTGGAGGGAAATATGTACACAGACCTTACCTTTGTTGTTGGCAGGATCTTGGGGCAGTTGCTAATCCAATGTTCAAGATGAAAGGTCCTTCCATGATAAAAAACAATTATTCTCCTGCATTCCCTTTGAAACATCAACAGAAGGACATGAGGCTGGCTCTTGCCCTTGGGGATGAAAATGCAGTGTCAATGCCCCTTGCAGCTGCTGCAAATGAGGTATCATTCTATTTATAGACTTGCATCATTGTATTTCGCGTTGATTTCATGAGCCTCTGGTGTCTAATTCAATTCTAGGATTAATTTTGTTCCCCTACCTGCAACTCTCTTTGCAACAGTTTATCATGTGTCAACTACGTCCTCATATTATTGAGGATTTTTTTCAAGGAAAATGCTACTTTAACCCCAAGGATGACACAACTAGAGATAATCATGCACGGACTATTATTGTATGTGAGACAATCATCGGTGTCAACCTTGGTGCCACTATAGCATAACCCTTTTTAATCCAAATTTTATCTATAGCTTAAACGAAACAAAATTATCACCCAAATTCATACTCTGAAAATTAATTAGGGCACCAATATATTTCATTCATCCGCATTATAGGGCATATGAACTCAGTTCACTTTACCTCCATTGAAGCAAGTCTTTGAATATGCAAATAGTATACTTCATACTTCTTATTCGTGTTCAAGATTGTGAAAGATCGGAGCGTTATATGTTGGCTTGTATTTTAATATTTGGCCATTGTGGATCACTTAACATTTAAAATTAACCCTGGGGTCCGGTCTTGTAATTTGCAACTAGGCATTCAAGAAGGCAAGGAGCATGGGGCTGGGTGACCTCGACTTCTCAGCTGTGCATGAGACCGTCAAGCACACCAAGAAGACTTGATTCTGCAATTTTATTAGCATACAGGCCTTGTGGACATCTATGAGACATGACCATTCCTTCACTTTCTTTTGTGTCACCATGCCACAAAACTCTTTCTTGTACACTCATTTTATCTCTGTCTCTCTCGCTACACGTACCATAGACAGATCTCACTCTTTATTTATGATTATAACTCAATTTATCTCCTTCTAGGTAACTTTCCGGCCGGTTCGGAGAAGCTAGTGATGAAGTTTTTTTAAATTTCATTGAACACTCACTATTACTACACAAAGAGTTGTATTGTGATCTTTCACATTGCTCATTTATTCACTCAAACGATTTGAGATTATAGTTTTAATGAGTCAATGCTTCTACCACCATTGGAACTCGAACTTGGGTGAACTTCTGCAAAAAGTGAACTTCATACTACTTAGGTCAAGGAAGAAGTTCATTATATATGCAAATTTATGTAAAAAAGGGATGCATATCTGTGTTTTTAGTATTGATTTCATAAGTATCTTGTAGAAGTCTTTCAAAAAATTATTTCATTAGATTACTATGCAAAGCAAATTTTATGTATATGAGAAATATAGTGGAGGCATGTGTGCAAAGATGGAAATCACACAACAAAACTAACTAGTGTTATCAACTTTTACAGTTGGAGGAATGACTTGAAAGAAGAGTACATCATCATCATCATACATATATAGTACTAGCTAGTGTTATCAACTTCTGCATTTGGAGAGGGTGAGTTATGAAGAGGACATCATCATTATCAACATCATCACTATCACCATCATCACCATCAACCTCATCATCATATAGTGAGTTCCTGCTAAAATGAAAACATTGCCAATTTCAAACTAGGAACTAGGAAGGTAGCTATACAACATAAGTATATAGTCAAATACTTCCATGGACTTTAGGTCCATTCTAATTATATTGAATTATATGGACCTTGCTGATGTGGATTCTTTAGTATTAGCATTAGAATTAGGATTCAGAGATTAGAATTAGGATTAGAACTAAGATTAGGATTACGGTCAGCATTAGACACATGAGCTTGGGTGAAACGGGCTTTTTTCACATTAGCTTCTAACCCCAATAACTTTTGTGAGAAGGTCCAGGATTTAGGCGTGGACCTTAGGTGCGCGAAACCACCCCTCCAATTGCATAATTCTCCAATAAACCCAACCTGTTAAACTACTTGTATCAAATACTTGTACTATGAGCTCTCTGTTTGATACTCTGAAAATATGCTATTTGAACAGATATCAGCAGAGGAACATATGCCCCATAATTCGGGACGGAGGGAGTATTTATTGACAACAGCCTTCATATAAAAGAACACTATTCTTCACAAGTATAACAGAAAGACTACTAATATATATCAAGCACATTCCAATCTGTTAATGGAAACTCAATTGCATTGTTCTCCAATATATTTTCAATCACACCACCCAATCTGTTAAACTAATTATATCAAATTGTTCGATTATATTTCAAAAGTAACAAAACCGCATACAAACACAACGCCAGAAATAGATGATAAAAAATGCATCAAATAATATACAGAGTAACAAATAAAGATCTGGCCTCTGGGCATCAAATGCATTGAACTAGAATTTCAATCAAAATCAGCTTGATAGTCTTTATCCAATGAGGAAGTATTATGTTAGACAATCAAAGGAACAAACATCATCCATAGAGCATTAAGTCATTAACAGTAGCCTTCAAACAAGAGCACATTCCAAATCCAATTAAGTAATTGCAGAGGAAATAACGGATAAAGAAGAGATGGGGGACACTTACTTCCATACTGGCTAATGGCATTACGCTTTCACTCCGAATGCCCCTTAGTATCTTTTTTTTGGTTTTCTGTTTTTTGGTTTACGCCCCTTAGCATCTTGTTCCCCTTTGTCAAATAACACCAGGCTCTCCACAAAGCTTCCAACATACGAATCACCATGCTGGGTTCTGATTCCAAGACGCTTTAGCCGTTGCTCACTTTGGTGGCAGTTCAAATCCAGTGTAGCTAGTTCACACCCACGACCATGCTCCCGAGTCACATTCACTAAAAGTTCTCCATTCTTGCGAACCCCATACACATCCATCAAGCCTGCTGCGTCAATAACTAACTCTCTGCCTTCCCCAGTTGGATGTAACACATTCGTCCACGAACTGTTTACACCGTACTCCTTCATGACCCAAGAATCAACTCGATTGTAACCATGGCTAGCAGGGATAATCACGGCGATGGATTCTTCATATTTAATCACAGACATGTCTGGATGAAAATGAACTGGAGTGTTGGGATAACTCATCACGTGAAACTTCTCTGTGCTCAGATCAAAAGCGAACATCACATGTGAATGCGCGTCATAATTCAAGAAACCATGCCAATGCAAAGCACCATTTACAAAAGCCATCTGCCTAACTCCAGTACAACACCTATGCTTGGGGGAAACTTCAGTAATCCTCCGCCAAGAACACTTATTTAATGAGAACAACCAAGCCTCATTCGAATCCTGTCCATCGTTATGAAACACAACCAGAAAGAGCACCTTGTAGTCATTGGATAGTGAATCAAACCCAAAACCAAGTGTGGCGCGACGAATCACCCCATAGGGCACATCGGGCTTGGGCAAAATAAAATGTCTACGAATACAAGGGTTCCAGAGAATTACATCCCAAGGAAATGACTGGAGATTTACTAGACAAATCAGGCCATTACAAGTCCCTAAAAACTTAAAATCCCCGCTCTTGAAGGGTAAGCGGAGCTTCTTATGCCCTACAAAAGCGCCATTGTCCCAGCACAAATGAAAGTAGTGGAATCCGTGAAGGAGAAGATCGTCGTCCTGAAGAGACGCGGCCTGCTGCAGATGAGTGGGAATGAAAGTGGGATCTTTGATGAGAGCATACCAGGCCTTGCATACGGCGGTGCATTTCACCGCCGATTTCACCGGGAGTCGGCTTAGGATGAGCGTGATGACTTCCGGAGGCAAATAGGAAAGCATCTCCTTCTTCTTCTTCTTTGTAGGGGATCTGAGTTCCGGAGACAATAATTCAGACATCTTTCTGGTTCTTCTTCTTCTTCGTTCGTAAGGCATCTGTAGATTATCAGTACTGAATTCCAAATAGAAATTTGAGAGTGAAATTTGATCTCGTCCCTCTACAATCTCTCTAATTTCTCACGCCCTTTCCATTCAATCCACTCACTCCATTACAATGTGCGAACCTACCAACAATATAGAGTTGTTCTCAGGGATATCATCCCAAGATCAAGATGTTGCATTTATTCTTTAAAATGCTAGGTGTGCCCCATTTAATAATGTACATCATTTTATACTGTATTTTAGTGTGTTACATACTCCCTCCGTCCGGAAATATTCTTCCCATTTGACTTTTTTTGGTCAAAGTTTGTAAACTTTGATTATGATATGTGGAAAAAATACATTATATTACGATATAACTTTAATATGAATATATTCATTTTGAACTATAGTTTTCAAATATCAAATTCTTATAAAATATATCCATGTATAAATAAAGATATAAATGGTCAAAGTGCAATCTTGGAGACCGTAAAAAGTCAAATGGAAGAACATTTCCGGACGGAGGGAGTATATTAATTGTTTGATTGTCTGTATATATAATGATCTTCTCGGTTCTGTTTACGAGGTTTGATCGATTTTATTTTCAACTCGTAACTCGAATTGATTATCCAATCCATACCCAAAACGTTAAGGTGGGAATTTGCATTGTTCATTTCTTCACTTTGCCTTTGTATATTAGAAGATGAGTAAATTCCATAATTGGTTCTTTATAACAGGAGGGTTTTCATATTTAGTCTTCTATTATCAAATATTATCTTCGTAGTCCTTTTTAAAAGGGTACATTTCCACAAATGGTCTTTTTTTGATCTTCTGCCGCGTTGGTGTCAATTTAAAGGCTATAAGTATAATTTGACATCAACATTATGTCTAGTAACGTGTTCTGATATTAGTTAAGCGGATAACACAAAAATAATGACTATGATTGTGTGCTAGGATTCTGACGAAAGATCACATTTGTAGACTATAGTTGTCGTAAAAAGCGACTGTAATTCACAAACGACGCTAATGGAACAGCCTTTGGAATTGTGTATGACAAAAAAATATATTATCATTGTGAAATTATACTTTTAACCCTCAAATTAACACCAACATGATAGAAGATCAAAAAAGGACTATTTGTGGAAAGGTATCCATAAAAGAAGGATCACTAGAGTAATATTTGATAATAGAGGATTAAATAAGAAAACTCCCTTGTTATAAAGGACGAATTATATAATTTACTCTTAGAAGATTCACTTCTTTTAGTATACACAATAAAAGACAACTCTCAATTCTTGAGACTTGGTTGGTTGTCCAAGAAAAGATTTCTATGTGGGTAAGAGTAATCAATTTAATGAATTTTCACGTGTGGTTCAAAGTTCATAATTTATGGCTTGTACTTTCTCATCGGTCCAAAAGGTGGAATCGCCCACCCCAGGCGCCCCCACCTCCTTGCCCGACAGGAATGGTGAAGTAAATCATGGTGACTCAGTCGGCCAAGAACGCTAGACCCGTGCCCACCGCGCACAAGGAGCCTCCTCACCCTTTATGGGATTTTTGGATAGCTCCCACACTACCGCTTGCGGGACTCGATCCCTGGTCATCGGTCCAAGATTTCACGCTCTTGACCAACTGAGCTGCCCATGCAACAAAAGTTCGTGGCTCAATGCATACTAACCTACTAGCAACATTTAATTCCATCGATTGAAGTGCACAATTCCACATGGCTCAATTAATCATAGAGCCCAAATGCAATATTTTGCATTAAATGATTCGTGGCTCAATGTATAACATTTTTCAATGTATCAATTTTTTTACTTTATTCATAGCGTAGTGGACACTTGGCTCAATGCATATTCCCATCAAAAAATTTGAAATTTTTCGAGACCATCAATGGACGTGGCTCTAGGCGCATTATCCTTAAACAAACCCATTTACTTTTTTTGCGATTTATAGCTTTAAGTATGTAAAATTTGATAATGCTAGAGTCACAAGGAAACAGTTCACAAAATTTACAAACTTACTTTTTAAACACTTTCTTAGAAATAAGATGCACTCAAATAATAAAAGATATTTTAATTTAAAATCCACAAAAGGTAAGTTTCTAAAGTTTGTTAACTACATGTTTGTGACTCTAGCATTTTCCTTTTAATTTTTAGTCAACATAAGTCTCCGTTTGAAAGCATTAAATGCAATAACCTTTTGGATGCATCAATCAATGGCCCCGTTTGGCATCAGCGTTAGAGATTACTGTTAGCGTTTTGAAAAAGCTATCCGACGGTAGCCTTTAGCGTTAGCGTTTTCAGAATTAATTTGGACCATTGAAATTTTATCCAAAACACTAACGCTAATCGAAAACGCTGTTACCAAACAAAGCCTATGTTAGAGAATATGTCTTGGTTAGATTTAAATATATATTTTTTTGTTAAATAACAATAACATGTATTCCCTATCTAAAGATATTTAGTACTGTTTTTTTAAATCATCCATTTGATTTTTTTGCATGTAAACTTTATTAATTTAAAAAGTGTAAGTTAAACAACAGTGTATTTCATTAAAATTATTTGAGAAAAGAGATTAAGAAGCTACTTTTAAAAACGACTCTAATCCTTTTTAATTACCTAATCTATTTCAGGCACAAATTATTTTTGACAAGGAAGAAATTTACTTTTAGGAAGACTTTTGATCAGCATCATCTAACCTAGAGATATGATAGCTAAGTTATGTATTCAATTAGTTTTGCAGCTCTAAATACCACTTTTCAAGGAAATACATTAAATGTATGGGACAATAATACTTCTCTATATTGTTTTCTTGAGCCTCCCAAAAGCTGATTTAATTCTTGAGCTCCAAAATAATCCACTTTTCAATGCATCAAATATTGGTATTTTCGATGCGAACCCGTAGAGATAGGTATTGGTGGGCAAAACAGTGTGAGAAGTGTACTTATTACTTTGATAGTTGTCATGGATCAAAGGTTTTTCATGGCATAAGAGCACGGGCAATGGCAAGTAGAAAATGGAATGTCACACGGTGACGTGGAATATTTTAACCAATCAAAATCAGTCCAGTCAGCGTGTGGCAAGTGAATGGAGTAGTATGCCTTACAATGGCAAGTAATTGTTTTTGTCCATTTTTACACTTTTTAAGCATATTTTAATTATTAAAAATTATTTTACTTATATTTTTTTACAAAAATAGATGTACTCCTATTTTTAAAAAAATCTTCTTTTTTTCAAAAAAAATAAAAAAATAAAATAAAATTTGACTCGCTGAAGCCTCAAGAACGGTGTAAAAAGTGGAATCCCACGCAAGGCAAAGCTCATGGTTATCCTACATGTCATGTACATGTCATAGCATGGCAAGCGGATGGAGCGCCGCTGCACATGCTCTAAACACCTCCTTCCACAATATGTTCTTTAGAACAGTTATTCTAGGACTTTTTTGATTTGGTAATGAATCCTAGTCCCCTGTTACACATCAAGAAAGACGATAAGCATGGTTAAAATATGGCTGAGTAGTTTGTGTGAATGCAATTTTATTAATGTTTCAATGCAATTTGTTTGAATGCAGTTTGTTTCGAATTATGAGGGTGTTTGGGAGTATGGTGAGTTATGTAGAAGTAGAAATCATAATTTAGAAGCAGAAAGCATATATTTTTAGTTTTGATAGAAAGCACTTCTAGACCTTAATTATAACTTATAAAGCCATAAATTATAAGCTAAAGCATATTAACAAACATTTAAAATTTTGTTTTAGTAAAGTAGTCAGTTGGTGTGGACTGTGGAGGTAGTTTGGCGCTGAATATTTTTTTGAAGAATGAACAAGCAATTCCCATACATTATTCTTAAATACATTATTCGAAAAAGGGTTTTAGAATAATTGGAAATTGGAAAAGGGGTTAAACCCGTTTGTACTCTGTACTCTGTAGTGCTCCCTTCTCATCCTCTCCTTCATTCCTCCATTTATTTCCTCGGTGGTCGCGGCTGGATCCAAAGGCCATACCCGTATTAACCCAGCAATGGCTGCCTTCGTTCCTCCCCCCGCCGCCACAACTCCACCGGCGGATTCCAAGCCGGCGGTACCGGAAAAAGTCGACTATATGAACCTGCCTTGTCCCATTCCGTATGAGGAATTCCACCGCGAAGCTTTTAGTCAGTATTTTATTGCAATTCTCTTTTGAATGCCTCTTCTTAGTTTTCCCTTTTCTGTTTCTGTATCTGAACTTGCAACCTCAATCTTTTAGGGTAATACTGTGAAAACAACTGCTGAAGATTAGGCTTTGTTTTAGGTTTTATTTGACATTAGCTTCAGCTTTTGGAAATTGCTATACGAAAACAGCCATTAGGCATTAGCTATCAAAACCATCAAAATGTTATACAAAAAGCTAACGCTAAATGTTAGAGTTTATAACAATCATTCCTGGGCCACAACCACAAGCTTGAGCTTTTGGTTGAGTTGGTTCCTTGACATGGTATTAGAGCCTTGATGACTAAGAGGTCACGAGTTCGAAACTCACCGCCACCCAGTTTAAAAAAATTAAGGTTTCACGTGCAAGGCTCAAAGAGGTCACGCCTGCACGTGAGGGGGCGTGTTAGAGTTTATAACAATCATTCCTGGGCCACAACCACAAGCTTGAGCTTTTGGTTGAGTTGGTTCCTTGACACTAAAGCTAATCACTAATGTTGTTCCCAAACAAAGCCTTAATTCGGTAAACGGGTAGAGAAGTCTAGCCTCTACAACTTCAGTACACTAGGTGTGTTAAACATGAAATAGGTCATGGAAGATCAGAAGAATTGCATGAACTTTTAGAGTAGAATTGAGATGGAAAATACAGAAAATAATAGATCAACGATGTAATAAAACCCAAATTTTTATTCAATGTTCACTACACTTGTTGTGTAAGGTAACCCGAAAGTCTAACAGTCTAACACCCTTCTTTTGTGAGCTGGATTTGATGTTTGAAGTTCGAACAAGAGGAAGATGAAGGTGGTTACCATAGGAGATGGTGTTTGAAGTGGAAACTCATGAATTAAGAGAAGAGTGACATTGGTGTTAAACTCAACAAGTCAAACAATCCAAGTATAAATAAAAAATGTTAGGTTCTGAGGCCCAATTAATATTTGATGTACTCTCAAATAGTCAAATTAAATTGTTCACGTGGTTCAAATAGCTATTTTTATGTCTTTTAGGTTGTACCTTTTACACTCCCAGCATAGCTATTTTAATAACGTAGGTACTCTAAATCATCAATATATAGCCCTCCCTACCTCTATGGAGTTTACCCCATGGGTGTTACCATACATAACTTACTCTCTGTGTTTTTTCTTTATATTCTTCGTGTCAATCCTAACATAAAATCCACCCAATGTTTGGATCCATCTACCAACTCCTTCTGACTTAGATATTCTCATGCCATTCATAAGATAGTGTATGAAGTCATTTGTTTTATTTGTTTGGGAGCATCACCTTGATAATTTTGAAAAAAGAAAATTTTCATGCATGTTTGAAAACTTTGAAGTCATTAAATTACTATCAGAATACATCTACACAATATTCAATGTTCACAACCTTTGGAATTATGAGTAGATATAATTTGGGTCAAGCTGTAGGCTAGGGTTTAACTTGTAGCTTGTCAACATTGTGCACTATGCATACTATCCTTGTATGCTGAGCAGGTTCCCTCCAAAAAAATGCTGACTACTAAACTTTTAGGTTATGCATGGATTGCATGTCCACATAGACATGTGTTGCTGCATTTCTCTGGGTCATAATATTCTCAATTGTGTTGAGTTTATTGTTATTGTCAAATTTTCATCATAGTATCAACATCATTATTTTTTTCTGAATGATAGTTGTTAGAGTATCTCACATCGAAAGTTGAATAGAAAAGTAATCGGTATATAAGCTCTTGACTTGAACTAAGTAATTGATTGGATTCAATCTTTTAATGTTGTTCAACCCGAGTGTCTTATTATCCAATCCAGTAATCCTTTCCCAATCCTAAAATTCTATCAATAGTTATGAATTAAGTACTCCCTCCGGCCTCCGCCTTGTTGTATCTGTCTAGTTTTCTTTTTTGGGTCGTCCCATTGTATCCGTCCACTTTCCCTTAAAGTACTCCACTTTACTTTACATGCATATCTGACGCTTTTGTGGGTTTTGCCTCCCTTTATTTTCAAATTTACTTATTACAACTCCTACCCAATCCCCACCCTTGACTAAAAAGTAAGGGCAAAATGGACCAAGCATGCCCTTCATCCTCTTTGATCCAAGAGCCCAAAAAAACTGGGCGTAACATAGGGACAGAGGGAGTAGTATGTTATTTACTGGTTTTGTTGATTCTTTTAGCATTACTTTATTGAGTTTTCTGATGTCAAATTAGGCCTTAAATAATTTCAGTGCAACTATTTTGATTCAATCTACTATCTTGACAGTGTCGCTGAAGCCGGATTTTTTTGAAGGCATGCGCTTTGACTTTACAAAAGCACTTAACCAAAGATTTTCACTCAGTCATAGGTACATTAAAGAAAAGTCCAATGGTAGATGTTCTATTTTCAGTGGATACCTTCCTTTTGCCTTAGGAAGGGGAACCTGTTGTACCCTGTTTGATGCAGTTGGTTTTTCTTATCATTGTTTATCAGCATGTTAATGGGACCCACAGAAATTCCTTCGCAGTCCACAGAGATAATAAAAATTCCAACCTCTCATTATGAGTTTGGTGCAAACTTCATAGACCCTAAGGTGTGTTATTGGAGTACTTCTTTCTCATGCGTAAACTCTCTGGACTTTTCACAATTTGCAACAATGTTATCATGTGAATACTGTTTGGTTGTTACAGTTGTTTCTTATTGGGAGGTTGATGACAGATGGCCGTCTAAATGCTAGAGTGAAATGTGATTTGTCCGATGCTTTTTCTTTGAAGGCCAATGCTCAAGTAAATATATGAGATTACCATATCCATATTTTGTTCTCATCTGTTGTGCATGCATCTATTATTTATTTCAAAATGCCTGATTGACTCTTATTTCATTTTCTTCCCAGCTCTCAAATGAGCCACATATGTCACAGGGAATGCTCAATTTTGACTATAAGGCAAGGGGCTGCTATTCACTTGTAGAATATTTATTATGCTTGTAATCTAATCCTTCAAGCCTCTGTATTTAAACCATTATATACTTGGTGACATCAAGTTGATATAAACTCTTACAATTGTAACTCAGGGAAATGATTATAGGGCCCAATTTCAATTGGGGAATGGTGGATTGCTTGGAGCCAGTTACATCCAGGTGAATGATCAAATCTTTTTATGTTGAATTTTTGGCATTATGCATGTTTGATGTGCCTAATTACAACTTATAGTATCCCACTTAGACAATTGTAAGGAAGATGTGCCTTTTCTTTCTATCCATAGGCAATTGTAGGGAGGGTTTCTTGGAAAGAGCCTCTCTACTTTCGAGTAGGCGTAAGGTTTGCGTACACACACCCTTCCCAACCCCTACTTTTTCTGGGATTTTATTAGGTTTGTTGTTGTTGTGTCCTCCCTAGACTCAGAATAGTGTACAGGAGATGTTCTCTATCTCTCCATCCACAATCACCTACATACACTTGCAGCGTACATACATATGCATACACGTGTGACTTGCATGCATGTTTGTCAGTGTATGCAACCACTTACCATGAGTTACTTAAGATTTTTCCTGTCCTTTTTTATAAGGTTTTTTTTACGATGATGTGCACTCTATGGTTTTTGAAATCCAGCATCTTTTTCCCTTAACCCTTCTGTATAAAACAATATGTGATTCTATATTTTTTTATTAACTTCTATACTCTTTTTACAGAGTGTGACTCCGCATTTATCTTTGGGAGGCGAAGTGTTCTGGGCAGGACAACATCACAAATCAGGCATCGGCTATGCTGCTCGGTACAACACTGATAAGATGGTATTGCTTAGCCCTTTTAAAACTTGTTCTATCATCTCTTGCAGCATAGCATGCATCCTTTGGTTTGGTTACTAGAGGTATTTTAATAAACCTTTAAAAAAATATTTTGTGCAAATAATTTTTCTAGATCTTCTAATGTCATTTGAATCTTTTGTGCATTGGCCATTGATTCACTTGGTCTCATTATAATGTGCTCTATTCTTTAATATTTCTAACTTTGGTATTTTAAAGATCAATTTGTTAAATTTGCAATGAAAGAGTGGTGGTTTTACTTTATATATATTCTCTTTTTGTGAGTTATCACTTGATGACAATGTTTTCGCTTCGGTTAAATAATGGACCGGATTAGAAAGACCCTTAAAACTTCTTTTGCTTCTTACTTTGCATGAAATTTTGAGTAGTAAATGCAGCGATGCGTCAAGAGTCTGGCAGGAATTGCCTCATTTTTTCCCACAAAAGTAGGGCTGCGTACACCCCAACGGAGTTGGGAATATACTAGGTTTTGTTGTTGTTGGACTGTTGATTCAGTAATTGTATACTCCCTCTGTCCAAGTTGAAACTTCCCATTTTGACTAGATGCGGTTTTTATTGTTAAGTGAAAAAGTAGTTGACCTTCCTCTTTTCTTTTTCTCCTTTGTTCCCCCCCCCCACCCCTTCCCCTTCTCTTTCTCTGACATTCAACACTGCCACCCACCTTTCCATTCTTATTCTTTCTTTCTCCTTCTTCAATTTTATAAATCCAAATGGAAAAAATTAAACATAAAAAAATCAAATTTTAGGTTTTAGATCTAAATAATCAAAGAAATTAAAAACCAAATCGCTTCAACCTCAACCTCGTAATGGCTTTAATCGAGCAGAAAGATGGACAGGATCCAGATCTGTAAGCTTCGCCGCCGATCTAATAGCCAAAACCGAAAGAAAATTAAAACCTGGGACAGACGCCGCCGCCTGTCTGCCACTGCCAACACACTGCAAAGAGGGGAGGGCGAGGCAGCGAAGAAAAGGAGAGGGGTGGGGGGCTGACAATGAAGAAGATGTGAGGTAGGGGACTGATGAAAACAAAGAAGGGTGCAGGGTGGCTGGAGAAGAAGAAGAAAAAGAGGGGTGAGAATGGAGGGTGAGGGTGACAGAAGATGAAGAAAAAGAAGTGCAGAGGGGAGAGACAGAAGAATGGGCAATAAGGGGATGGGTAGCCTCATACAACAAAATAAAGGGTAATTTAGTCATTTAGGCAAAAATGCCAATTTAGGAAATGGGAAGAAAGAAGTGGGACGGCCTTAAAAGGAAAGTGAGAAGAAAGATATGGGACGGAGGGAGTATGTAATTTATTTTTTGTCGTGTTTGCCTGCAGGTAGCAACAGGACAAGTTGCTAACACTGGACTCATTGCATTAAACTATGTTCAAAAACTTTCCGAGAAGGTAAAAATTTGACCCTCTTATATAGATGTCTGTCTAAGTCATGCAATTAAGATGCTTCTTGCATGTAGGTTTCTCTTGCATCAGACTTTATGTACAATTACATTGCTGGAGAGGTCACAGCAAGCGTTGGTTATGATTATATTCTTCGGCAGGTAATTTATACCCTTCAAATCCCACTTTGAGAGCTCTACCCTTATATATTATTAGTGATTATCAAACGTTAGAGATACTGATTTTATTATTACACTAGAATTGAACCTTTTTTTCTTTAAAGTTTACAAAGGTAAAAAAATTAGATATGGTTCATGTTGAAAATGTGGTTTTGTTAAAATTCTAAAGAAGTAAATAAAAACAAGATAAAAAACAACCCCACTTGGGTATAAATGCTTTTTCATGATCATACTCATTTTTTATTTAGGCAGTGTATGGGAGACATGAAGTGATTCTCAAGGAAAACCATTTTCATGTATTTGTAGGCAACGGGGGAGAATTTTTTTTCCTTGGACATATTTTCTGCAAGTTTTCTAAACACTAGCAAATGTTATGAAAACTTTATTTTCTTTGGTAAAATATTTTCGATGGAAATTGGTTTTCCTTTAATGTTTCTTTTGAAAACTTATCACTTGGTTTCACCCTTGCCTCGGCTACATACTTTGATGATTAAGTAGTTATTTTGGTGGCAGTGTCGTCTAAGGGGGAAGATCGACAACAACGGCTGCATTTCTTCTTTCTTGGAAGAGCGATTGAACATGGGTTTAAATTTTATTCTCTCCGCCGTGGTACCCATTCAATACATCTTGCTCTATATTGTTTTGTTAACCGTTATGAATGTCTGTTAGGGCTGCCCCAAAATCACGATAGTAAATGTGATTGTGTGGGTAACCAAACATACACCATCGCAAATAGAAAACTCTCTCCGTCTTAAAAAAATTGTAAAAAAAATCACTTTGATCGGGTGAAATTAGTTTTTCATGTAACTTGCCAAAAGAACTTAAAAACAAGATACACATGATGATTGTAGTTGAATCAACAAATAATGTTAAAAAAAAGTATGGAGTACACTTTATGATTTTTACGTGATAACCTGACCAGAATTCAAAAGTTATACATTGAGCAAACAAACATGCAAATTTTTTTTAGACGGGCGATGTTTTTTCAAGTGGTTATCGACCACCAAGTTAGTCTGCCAACAATGCTTTGCTTTCGTATAACATTCTGATGTGTGCATAAAAATATGGCCTGCAGATTGACCATAAAAAGAAAGATTACAAGTTTGGTTTTGGGCTTACAATAGGAGAATAGTTTAGCTTGTGAAAGACGAGGAGCATCTTTTAGTCGTTGATTCTTTCATTCACATTTCCATTAGAGAATCAAAGCAGACAAGTTTTGTATTCTTTGTTACACTCTAGCGCCCGATGCTACTAAAGGTCAGTTCCCATCTCTAAGTGATGCCATCTCTAAGTGACTGTCATTTTTGGTGAAACTAGTATTCCTACCCGTGCAATGCACGGGGTTAAAAAAATCTTTTTTGCTTCTGAATTTTTTTCAATACAATAAATAAAGATAATATATTTCTCACAAATTTTTAATAACATAGAAAAAAGACAAAGTACTTAACGTAGTTTCTTTAATACTAAATTTTCTAAAAAAAAACCTCAGGGTGTAAAATATTTTTGGTATAGTTGTAAGGGTTTTCATTTTCATCTAGAAAAAATATTTTGAATCGTGTCTTTGTATTCACTTATGAAATAGAAACATAAAACTGACAATGAGTGAACACTGACTTGGTTAAAATAATCCAATAAATGACAATATTCAACCTTGATTTTTGTTCAATGTAATTGCAAAACATAAAACCATTCGGAATTGTCTTCTTTGGAACTTCAGGGTAGTCCTAGACCGGATGGTGCCAAATTCAATGGTATATATAAACCTTTTCCCTGATCGACTTGATTTCACAAAACCAATAATAACACTGATAACATTCTTCCCCCCACCCCCATCCCCCCCCTGCTTTAAAACTATATTATGGTTTAGGATCTCTAAACATTTGGTTTTATTTTCATAAGTTATTCTTGAGGAGATAACTTATGTCTAGAATCAAGAATTCGGGTAGAATATCAAGGTCACTTGTTCCATCAATCACTTTTCCAAATTTCCATCTCCAAGTTTGGGTATCCCATCAGAAAAAGCTTGTGTCCCTATTCGTGCAAAAGGGCATTGATGAATGCAANATCTGTATATGTAATATCTAACATAAAATTATACTAATATTTATCTCATTAAAAAGGACAAATATTTTTGTACTTTTTTTGGCATGCGTTACAAATATATTTTTTTATTTTTTTATACATAACTTTTTAGAATAAAAGATTTGGTCCATAATGCCTTTCTTATGTATATTAAAATAAAAGTGTTGGTCCATAATGCCTTTCTTATGTATATTTTAATCCACTATAAAATTTTTATATTTTAATCATCATTAAAATACCATTGTCATCATCATTATTATTGCTATTATTCAATATCACTTAGGGACAAAATTTTAATCGGTGTTCTTTTTAAATGATAGTTTTTCAAAAATAAAAGCTTCGGGTTACTTATGAAGCATATTTACTAATTATTATATAAATCCTTATTTTGAAAAAAGTAAAAATTGAAAGTGGTGGGTAGTTTTACAAATGAGTATATGTTGAATGTGTATTACAAATTGAGTGTGCCACAATTGCCATGGATTAAATGTGTATATGTTACACTTTTAAAATAGATTAGTTATAAAAATCAAGGGCTCACCATTTGTTTGGGTGTTTTTTATGCGTGAGAAAGAAAAGGAAAAATAGGGAAAACTTTCTTGTTTTTTTAGGAGAGAGCTCTTGATCTTCCGGTCGAATTTCCGGCCATCCCCTTCAAAGTTTTTGGTCGCCAACGTTCCAACGTTATTCTTGTTCGTTGGTGTGTGATTGGTCCGTACAATCTCCACACACGATAGCGGTTTTATCCTGGGAGGAGAGTGTCTACGTCTTTCTGGTACGGTAGGCGAGCACTAACCTGAAGGACAGCTCCGGCGACTTGGAATGGTATAGAACATTTGGCAGATGTTGCATCTCCTCGCCCTTTAGGCGCAATCTTTGACCATGTTTGGCCAAAAATACTCTTGCAAGACGATGCGCCTTTCCTTGGAGAAATGGCCCTGATGTGCCGCACAGATGCCACATTGGCCTTCCTCCATGATCTACTTGGCTTTCTCGTCGACACACCTCAAGAGTGCACGTTGTACGACCTCTTGTACAACTTGGAGTTTTTAATTACATAGGTTGGTACCCTTCTCTTGATCAACCGAGCGGATGTCTCGTCTTTGGGTAGAGTCCCGTCTTCTTTGCATTTGATCAGCTCTGAGATCTAGCTGGCCATCCCGTCAATGATTGCCATCACGAGCTGGGCGTGAATACTTGGGGACCAGAGCTCCTCAATATGGGCCATCTTGGAGATATGCTCAGGGCTTTCGTTACTCAACTTAGAGAGAATGTCGACCTCTGTGTTTTCTGCCTTCGGGATCTATACCATCTCATAGCCTTTGAAAAGTTTGAGCATCTCCAATGCTGCCTCTTTGTATAGTCGCATTCGTTCTTCCTTGGTCTCGAACTCGCCTTTGACCTGTTCGACTACCAGGCGTGAGCTGCATCTGATTCTCACACACTCAGCCTTCATGTTGGTTGCGATCCTCAGTCCGCTAAACAAAGCTTCATACTCTAAATTGGAACTTGATGGCGTGGTATGAATGGAATCGCTCGAGATACTGAATGACCACGCCTCCTTTGCAAGCTTTCAATGTGGAGGACCCATATGTGGACAAGGTCCACCATTCGCTTTGCTCAGCTGTCGGCACAAGATTGTTGTCATGGGTTGTGCACTCCACCATAAAATCGGCAAGTGCCTGCCCTTTTATTGCCGTCCGGTGCTTTGTTTCGATCTGGTACTAGCTCAAGTATACGGAACACTTGATGACCCTGTTTGATGTGGTGGGGTTCCAGAGAATGATGCCCAAGGGCTGGTGGCTTGTGACCTCTTCATCGTGAGCCTGGAAGTAGTGGTTGAGCTTCTTGACCATGTTGACAACGGTGAGAATTGTCTTCTCCACTACCCAGTACCTGAGCTCGGCATCCTTCTGCATCCTGCTGACGTAATAGATGGGCCGCTGGGCGTCCCCATCTTTCCTTAAGAGCACAGAGCTTATCGCTTCGAGACTAATGCCCAGGTACCGATACAATTTCTCCCCCTTGATCGGCTTCGACAAGACCTGTGAGGTTAGTAGATATCTCTTCAAGTCCTCGAATGCCGTTTGGCATTCGGCGGTCCACTGGAAATCAATATTCTCTAAAAGAAAATGGATGAAGTGTAAATTTTATTTTGGAATATTCAAAAAATGAATAAAGGGCTCCTTCAACCCAAAGAAATTTTTACACTTTCGAGTTTTCGATGTTCAAAAAGTACTTACAATTATGTAATTTTTTAAGTGTAATGAACACATGATTCACAACATTTTTTTCTCTTATCTAAATTAATTTTAATCATGTTTTTTTAATATTTTTATTATTTTTTAAAGTTACATTGTAAAGTAATTTTTTAGACAAAAGGAGAATATGTTTTGAAGGCATAGAGTAATACGGAGTAATCAATAATAATACGGAGTAATATTAAGAATACTAATACTAATACTAATACTAATACTAATAATAATAATTATAATTATAATGATAATTATAATTATAATGATAATTATAATTATAATGATAATTATAATTATAATTATAATTATAATTATAATTATAATAACAATAATAATAATAATAATAATAATAATAATAATAATAATAATAATAATAATTGATCTGAGGAGTGCTAGGGTACATCAAGTTTTTGTCCCAATTTGCATACCAGAAGTATCATAAATACACACAAACAATAGTTATTTGTGGGGTGTATGGACAATTGATATTGATATATGTCTTTGATACACTTATTTTCTCTCTCCTCTTAATAATTTTTATTTTTTTATGTTATTTCATTAAATATTTGATGAAATAAAATATTTTTACCACTTCTTGTTTTGTAGAACTTTTGACTTAATTTTTTAACATGTACGGAGTAATTCTTAATTTTTATCTGATGGGTATATCTTTATACCAGCCCGAATAACCGAAAGGGACAGGTCAAAAAGTTTACCGGTCACTTTCCATGATTACAAAATGAGAACAACTCTTCGATTGAGACGAGTCAAAAGTTGATCGGTCACTTTCCTTAAAAAAGTGACCGGTCATATTTTGGGTGATAGCCAAAATGTCACGTAATGTTGTGAAGGACACTCCAGAAGACCAAAGAGACGGATTGGGCTCAAGAAATGACCGATCGACCTTCGAGGAAAGGTGATTGGTCATATTCTTCTACTTAGGTAATGTTCGACGAATCTCTCAAGCATAACAATCAGCATCTAGGTCAGGGGACCACCCCGCCGTTCATCCATCACGAGGCATACAGTGAAAGAAATGTTTATCATCTTGCAGGGTTGATTGGATAGGGAATATCCACCTTAGAGTCTTTGATTGAATAGTGTCTTGGCTTGAAGCTATTAAAATCATTGATTGAATAGTAATTCCATTTTGTAAAGTGACATTCCCACGAGCTTCATATTTTGTCCATGGATGAATAGGGAAAGGTCACATATCCTCCTCTATAAATATGATAATTATGGATAGAGGAGGAGATCCAATCTTTATCTCACTAAAACTACACTCTTGAGACAGAGTAAAAAATATAATCGGACTTAGGAGATTTGCCCAGTCTAGGTCATACTTTATGTTCTTGTTGTGTGTATTTTACTACGAGTAAAGTTTGTGTCCAGGTCAAACCCGGTCATCCCACCCGGCTATATTTACACCATCATTATCAATATACCAATTTGTAAATAAAATGATTTCAAAAAGAGAAATATTTTTCTACGTAAATCCTGATTTGTAATCAAAGTGGGGATAGAAGTAATAATACTCCCTCCGTCCTATAATGTTCTTCCCGTTTGTGTTTACGAGGTTTGATCGATTTTATTTTCAATTCAATTTATTTGATTGTAGGTGTAAAATTAAAAAATAAAATTTATATATTTAAAAACTACATCAAAAGTTCTACAAAACGAGTGGTGATAAGACTATATTATTTTATCAAATACTTAATGAAAATAGGTAAAGAAAGTGAATAAAGTTTGACCATGTGAAAAGTACTCCCTCCGTCCGGAAATTTTCTTCTCGTGTTGACTTGGCACGCTTATTAAGGAATAGTAAAAAAATGCAAAATTTTCAAAAATGCACAAATTATAAACTTTTAAATCTTCTTTTATTATTAAAAAAGTATTAAAAAAGTAGATTTGTGATAAAATAGAAGGGTATTATTGATATTTAGCCTTAAAATGTATACTAAAAAAGGAAATGGAAAGATTATTTTCGGACGAACCAAAAAGGAAAATGAAAATAATTTTTCCGGACGGAGGGAGTGCAAATTTAGGACGGGGGATTGCAAATTTAGGGTACACCTATGTAATAGTTTGTCGGTATACAAGAAAAAGAAAAAAAAGAGAACAATAACCGGCATAAGATTTAGGAACATCATATGACAAGTTTAATTTCTAGGCAGTCTAATCATTGTGCTGGTACACATTTCTCTCAAAAGCACATTACTTTGTCTACTCACCAAACAGCTTGACCAGATGTTACGTAACTATTGTGGTGCCAGAGATAGTGTGGAGTAAATTACCCCGTTTTTTACTTTTCATAAACTAATACGGAGTATTTCAAAAATTACTCCCTTTCAATTAAGGCAAATTCTTCCATAAACTTAAGATTGATAGTCATTATATAGAACTTAGTGCATTTGTAAGAGCATCTTCAATGCATTGGCTATATTGTAAAATATACACTTTTTACACTTTATTTTTCATTTTATCTCACTCCAAGGGAGAGTGTAAATGTGATGATAAAATGCACTATAGTGCAAAAAGCAACCTACACCTTCTATTTCTACAAGTTACTGTAGATAGGGAAAAGAGTTTTAAAAATATTTTGTGGCCCCTTTTTTTCTCTCGTCACTCCCTCTGCCGCCTCTCTGCTGTCTTCTTCAATCCAAAATCACTGGTGCTGTTGTGCTCATTCCCTTTCTCATGTAAATTGCTGGAAAATTTATATTAATTGTGTTGATGGCTAATTATTTTAGTGTGATGTCATTCCGATTCTTCCCCCAATTTTAAGTGAAACCTAGGTTTAAATGGATTGTTTCTTTCTTTGATTTAGAAACAAATTTGGCTTTAATGGTTACTATTAGAGCTGGCAAATCGGTCGGTCAGGTCAGGTTCGGGTTCGGTCACTTCAAGTTCGGGTTAATTTGGGTTTGGGTTAATTCGGGTTCGGGTTGAGAACTGTATTTTCATGACCCAGTATCATCGGGTTCGGGTCGACCCAACGGGTTATGACTTTGGTTTTTTTAAATTTTTAAATTCACATTAACACTTACATTTTCTATTAAATAAATTTAAAATATCAAAAAAAAGTACTAAATCTATAAAATTATATTATTTTTAACTCTAGAGTAGTTTTTAGATATATAAATCAATATAAGGAATTTAAAAATGTTTAAGTTTTGGAAATAAGTAAAATAATTATGCAATATCATTAAAATTTTGTCTGAAAATATAAATTTATACACTAAAAACAAGTAAAAAAGTGTTTAATTTTGAAAAATTCTTACTTTAGTGGGTCGGTCAGGTCGGATTCGGGTTCGGTCGGGTTGGACCCATTTTTAGCGGGTAATTTCGGGTTCGGTCAACTACGGGTTTGGTCATCAAAACCTTTGTTCAAAACCCAGTGTTTTCAGGTCGGGTTTCGGGTCAAAAACAGGTCGGGTCACTTTTTGCCAGGTCTAGTTACTATATTGAAAGGAACAGTAGGTGTGTAGCCTTAATTTAGGAATTAAATTCATATTAAGCTACATATATGCAATTTTTTATTATAGATATATAAATACTGCATTTTTTTAATTCTTGTTTATGGTCTATATCTCATCATAGGTATTGTTTGTTAAATTTTCTACCATCTGTTTGATAAGAAATATGATTAGCACCAGAGAGTTGAAATACCACAATTTAAAACAATCCAATCTGTTAAATGCTCTGATTATAAATAATAATTATTATGCATAAATAACTCAAAATAATAAAATATTACAAAAGTGTATAATATAAAAGATATAGTTGGAGTGAATATAAAAAAGTAGATGTGTAAAACACGGTTGATAGTGTAAAATTGCATTTACACTACCAACTTTTACACTATCCCTTGAAGATGCTCTAACATGGATGGCTTGGAGAGTGTGGAAAATGACCAACCGTATAGGCAGTGCAGGATCCATGATTTTAGCTAGATGGGGGCACCATTAGTCGGGGGTCGGGGGACAACGCCCTTGAAATTTTTAATAGACAATATAAATTGACAAAAAAAATACCGGAGTAATAAATTTTGTTTCGAACATTCATGTTTTGACATGGGAAGGATTTATTTTCATAGTTTGACCTTCTAATTATATTTTTATCATCGAAGAAAAAAGAGAGACAAATCATTTAAATGACTTATTATATCAATCCAAATTGAATTGAGTATATTGCAACGACTTAATTTAGATATATTAGTCATTTTTTACAAAAATGAAAGTGTTTTAGGGAAAATAATGAAAGAAAAATTGTTTTAAGAAAAAGAGGAAGTATGTAATAAAATAAAATATACTAAAAAAATTAAATAAAAACTTTAAAACCATTTTAATTAGATGGGGTCTTATTTATTTTTGTTGGGGGCACACATACATAATTTTTTTAAAAAAAAAAATTTAACTTTGAAAAATAAATTTAGTAGGGGGCATTAGCCCCCAACTCTTATGAAGTAGATCCGCCACTGCGTATAGGACCGCTAAAATTTTAAGGCCCCATATTTTTTATATTCATTATTAATTTTGAAGCATAAGTGATGGGTGTATTTCACCCACGACCGGTCAAAAGACAGAACCCAATAGTTGACCGGTCAAAGAGTTCAGGCTTGAAAGAGAGATCTGAATCGTCAGTGAAAGGATGACTGATTGACCAAAAAGTTGACCGGTATACTTTGGATAAGTATACCGGTCAAACTATCCCATCGTCTAAATTCATCCTTCGAAATTAACCAAACCAACCCTCAAGGATCACCCGATCTAGTTTCCGAAGATTGGAGAGCGTCGGCAAGAAGAATCCAAAAGAACTTGGACTGTAGTGGCTGGCATTGCTGGAGAATCAGGGAGATGCTGAAGGAATGTTTCCAAGCCAGAACGCGACAAGGGCACAATCCCCCTCACAAGATGACAAGGCAGCTCAAGGACGAAACCAGTCACCTCGCACCACCCCAGCAGCGTGCCTCCACGTGGGTGCACGTGGTCTTGTCCCCCTTAGCCTAGTATAAATACTGCTGTAAACCTCAGAAAGAGGGATCCGAATTCATTCTCTCTAAACTCCCTTGCAAAAGCACCTGTGCATTCTCTGTTATAATATAAACTGGGCTACAGGTGTTCCACCTAAAGTCCTCCCGGTCAATCTGTGTGTTTTTACCTTCTTTACTTAATCAAATCAAGCAAACTATTCTAGACCCGGTCTAGTATAGTTTGACCGATCGAGTAATTTACACCATCAATAAGTATTTTAAAATAATAAAATAGGGACCAAAATATAAATTTCATACCGGACCAATTTAATTTTTTCATTTTTGAGGTCGGCCCTGAATTGTAATATGAAAAAATAGACGTTTTCGAAAAAGAAAATATACCCATGCAAGCCCATAAAAATGTAAAAAGTCCACATTTCAGTATGAACTTTGGAATCATGTAAGCATCAGTTTTCAACCAAAATGGTCTTTCCATTTCGCTTTACGAGATAAGAATGAAAATATATATTTTTATTTCAATTTATTTTATTATACCGTAAAGTTAAAACAGTAAATTTGTATACTTCCTCCGTCCTTAAATCATTTACACTTTACGCAAAGTGGAGTAAAACTCTAAGTTTTTTTTAATTCATTTTGTTTAAGATTGGTATATAAATAAAAATTAAAGTTACATATTTAAAAAGTACATTAAAAGTTCTACAAAAAAAGAGATGACAAGAATATTTTATTTTTATTAAATAGTCAATGAACACAGAAATAAACAAAATTCTCGTGATATTTGAATGGTAAAGTATGTAAATCATTTCGGACGAAAGGAATATTTAAAAACTACTCTATCCGTTCCACAAAACCCTTCCTCTTTCATTTTTTTGCTTTCCACAAAACACTTCCACTTTCTATTAAAAAACTACTTTTACCCCTACTTTTTCATACCCTACCTATTAGATCATACTTTTTCACTAATAACCAAACTATCACATCTTACTTTTTCCCATCACATCAGGGGCAAAATTGGAAAGTCAACCAAAATTACACTTTCCTTATTTTTCCCCAAAGTCAAAACCGGAAGGGTTTTGTGGAACGGAGCGAGTATATCAAAAGTTTTACGAAAAAAGAGGTGATGCAAAAATAACTAATGTAAATAAGTAAGGTGTAACGCCCTGCAACCCGGTCTAATAGAATTGATTATTTTAAATAATTAATTACTGTTCCGGACCGGAGTTGGGGAAATGAAAAGTTCTTAGAAAAATTATTTGATCATATCATTAAATTCATCTTGACTGTCTGATTCCAAAAACGCAAACGGATCTCAACACGGACCCGTTCGGGGAAAAAAGCGCGTACCGTTCAGGTCAGATTTTTACATAACGGAGTGAAAATATATTTGTAACTTCCCCCATGATTCACACGCCACTCACACATTCATGCTCCATTAAGTTTCGCTTTACTCTCCTCATTATTATTTTAAATTAAAAACCCCCCACCCATTCCCTTCCTCCACCATTTTTGTAACCTCCCATAATCATCATCACCATCCACCTTCCTCTTCCCTTTTGTTCGGCCAGACCAGCAGCAAGGAGGACCTCCGGCGAAGCTCCGGCGGGTGCAAGGTTGAAGGAGAAGAAGAGCTAGGGCGTTCTTGCGAAGCGTAGTCGTCGTTCGTCTGTTCGTTGGCACCATTCGTTCATCTCGTTCCATCAATTCCTTCATTTAGAGGTGAGTAGTTGTCCCCTCTAATTCTAGAACATTTAGTTATAATCTATGTCGTTATAATGTTATATACATAAGAATATCGTACGCAACCTACGTAGAATTTATGTATGTTCGTAGGTTAGCCACTAAAACATTCGTTACGTAAAATCTATAAATGTTGGCCTAGGAATCACTAGGAGTATATTCATAAATGTTGTGTTATTATTCTAAAAAGAATCTAGGTGTTAAATTAGCAAAACGAACCAAAACGGAGCAAGGGACGGCGGACTGTCTCCGGGACGGTCGACCGTCGCTTCCGACGGTGGACCGTTCCCACAGCCGTACCGTCGGTCACCACCGTGACGATCGACCGTCGGCCACGACGGAAGACCATGGTGGACCGCCGGCAGTCCAGCTCTCTTCAACGTAGCCCACGGTCGACCGCCGGTAGGCTACGGTCGACCGTTTCGCGGGCAGATTTCTGGGCAGGTTGTAGAACGAGCCTCGTTGACCACATTGACCCAGAATTTAATCGGTTGTTGTATGACATGTTAATCTTCAGTATAAATAATATTCAACTGATATAATTTTGGCGTTGACCAAAGGTAAATATATCAAGCAATCGTCATGATCATTCTAGACGCATGTCTTAGGCTTTCATCATGTGCATACTGCTGTAGGGGGGACTTCGTGCGCCTACTACAATGGGCACGTTTAGGAACCCTTGGGGTCCAACGGGTTTTCATCATGTTGGGCTTGTGTACGTACATAGTAGTCAGGTTACGGCTACTACCCGGTTTTGCTAGTCCACTCGCGACATTTTCGTCGTGCCTGGCTCGTTACCGTTCGGGGACGATGACCGGAGTGCAGGGGTGATCCTGTCGAGTGAGACTAAGCCAGGGGTGTCCTTGATAGTTTAAGTCATGCATCAAGTCATTTCATCATCATGTATGCTTCTATCACCTTGTGTGTTGAAATAGGCCTAGCAGGTGAAAACTAAACAGTTAGTAACATGTGGTTTCCCGTATGTTAAGTACAGGTATTAATATGTGTATAGCCATATGGGTTATCATTAAATGTTCTTTTGTTAGATTCACTCCTCAGCTTTTGCTGAGCGTGTAGTTGTTTTTGCTACACGCAGGTAGACATGACGGTGCAGGTGCCAACCCTGGAGAGCAGTGACGATGGAGAGATGGGCGGCGCACGGACAAGCTTTTATTTATTTCCATTTATTTGATTAATCTTTTGGGCATGAACCCACCCTTGTCGTTATTGAACTTGGACTGGACTTATTTATTTACTTCCGCATTTACTCTGCACTTTTATTTACACACGTTTTGGGAGTAACTCCCTGGCATTTATTTCACTAATTAAACCCCAACCGTTTTCCTATTAAATAACCACTAATGTTTTTGTAACAGACATTTCTTGGACTGGCCATGTAACCCTACCGGTCCGTCGGGTCGCGGGTGGACCGGGTCCACGTACGGAAGGCGGGTGTTACATAAGGAAAGTGACTAAAATTTGACCATGTAACATGTTTTCTCCAAAATAGAGGTAACATCTCTTTTCTCAAAATCTGAGAATTACATTGTGATAATGTGCCACTATATATTGTATTAAACAATATTTTGTGGTATTATACATTGGTATTATTGACATTATAGTTCCAATTTTTGATATATATATTATTTTGACTGCATGGCATAGATCAAAATACTAATGAATTAATATATGTGACATTAATGTGATCTATATATATGTGTGTGCGTGCATGTGTGTGTATGTATGTATATATATATATATATATATATATATATATATATATATATATATATATATATATATATATATATATATATACTCCCTCTGTCCACCATAGATATTCCCAATAGCCCTTTTTCTTTGTCCACAATAGATCTTCTCATTTCATTTTTTAACAAGTAAAATACCACAACTACCCCCACTTACTTTATTTATTACACCTCACCCACCTCATTTAATACACTCCACCCATATTTCATTAAGGGTATTATGGTAAACTTTCACCTTTTTTCAACTCTCCTTAAAAACTATCAAAAGTCAAAATGAGAACATCTTAGGCGGACGGAGGGAGTATATATATATATATATATATATATATATATATATATATATATATATATATATATATCGTCTCATACGTATTAGTCTTAGTATCTTATGATGTTCGTATTATCATAATATTCGACTAAAGATATTCTAGACATAGCGTTTATAAATATAACAATCTCATAATCAAAATATTGTAGCTCTAATCTATGCTACCAGAGCGCTAAATCTATGGGCTAAAGCTTTGTATAGATAGACGAGATACATAAACAACTTTTAGGGCCTTTTATTCTTGATAAATGTTGAGATACGTAAACATAGATTGGCATCTAGGCTCACACATTCAACAGATAAAATTCTATGGGTCCATGACCAATTAGAAAAATGAGCATGTCTTATATTAAATTCAAAATATAATTTCAAAAAAATATACTCCCTCCGTTTCACAAAACACTTCCTCTTTCCTTTTTCATCCGTTCCAAAAAAACACTACTCTTTTCGTATTAAAAAATCACTTTTACCCCTATTAAATCTTAATCTACCTATCACATCATACTTTTTCTCTATTAATTTACACATCACATCCTACTTTATCTATCACATCAAAGAGCATTTTTGGAAAGTCAACACCAAAATACACTCTACTTAAATCCTTTAAAAGTCAAAATGGAAAGTTTTTTAAGGGATGGAGGGAGTATTTAGTAAGTTCCTATTATTGTTAAAATTGTATGGTTATAACAAAATTAAAAATTAACTCCAAAAAAGCTTTGTCAACGCTTCATAATAAATTAACCAATTTTTCACTTACCTGTCATCAATTTTTGAGAAAAAATTAGATTAAAATAAAAAAGATTTGATTTTCTTAAAGACTCCTTGTCTATAGGAGTAACACGGATTATCTCTTGATTATTATCAGTTTCTCCCAATTATTTTGATCGATTGGGAAGGAGTTTGAAAATTTTAGAACAAATGTGAAAGTTAATTTTTAATCAAACAAAATGAAGAACGACTTGATTCCGTTGACGCTCATTTACGTATAACATCGATTCCAATTAGAACATCTATACATAGTGTCGTTCGTAAAATTGAAGGTTGCTACTCATGGTAAACCCTCATAGTATAGCCCGCCTAACTCTTTCAACTTCATCTCTAAATTTTTGTTGACTTTAGCCTTTGGGGTAAAAAACAATTTTACTCCAAAGTCAACAAAATTTCGGGATGAATATGACTAGATTAGGCAGGTGGGCTCAGACCGGGTCAGGCTGGGCCGGGGTTTATGCAAAGAAGAAAATTTGTTCTAATATTTGACTCCAAAGTTAATTAAATTTTGTGAAGTGCAATTGGATGGGATAAGGGGGTGAGTTCAGGTAGGGCCAGTGTGGGGTTATACCGAGAGGTAAGACTCATTAGTTTTTCGAATGAAGCACTCTAGGTGTCTTGGATCATCCAATGACATTGAAGTCGAGAACCTTTTGAATACATGAACTTTGATGCATTACGGTAAATATCTCACATATAAAATATTATTCATAGAAATGTAAGGGCTTATATGACATTTTAAGACAATTTTTTAAATAAATTATTTTTCGGAATATCAACAAGTAAAATTGACGGTGCTCCGGTGACCCGTTTGTAAAATTGACAGTTTTTACCCCGAGTAACCCCCACGGTAAACCCCCCCCCATCCTGCCCCGACCTGAACATACCCCACACTCCAAAATAAAAATTAACTTGGAGTGCAAAAAAAGAGGATAGATAGATAAATAAGAGGATAGTAACTGTCAATCTTACAAACGCGAAACAAGAGTACCAAGTCATCTTATGATATTGAAGGGTAAATCTACATACTACTCGTAGATTGGAGTGAGGATGGGACAATAAAAAGTGAGTTTTGACTAACAAGGCTTTTTATTTGACTTTTTTAACATATGGACTGATCGATATGAAGTTTTTAGGTGGGACATAGTTGAGTTTGTTGAAATCTTCGAGTAAATGAATATCTTTAGGGTGACAGGACCTGCCAGCCCTGCCTTCTAATTAAAGGGTCCACAACCAAATAAAAACAAACACTTAAACCCTAACCAACTAAATTATAAATAAATTAATTTTTTAATGGAAATAAATATGGAGAAAAATCAAATTAGGACTAAAATATTGAAATTATATTGAAATAGGACTTTCATGTTTTTATTTCTGAAATAGGACTTACATTGCTTAACATGGGCATTTACTTTACCAAAAAAGTATAGTAATGTGCACATGTGCACTGTGACATTACCACAGTGGAAAGTCACATTTCGAAAAAAACCATGAAAGTTCTATTTTGGTACTTTTCTCTATGATTTCTAAATAAATATCATTACATATCATAATAGTCAGTCGATGACTCAAGAAGTTCTTTTAACATTTTAGTCTACACTCTAAAATTTTGTTTCGAATAGCTATCATCACCAATCTGCGAAGTCTTTCTAACGATATTGTGGATCGTAAGTAATATTTCAATAAATTCAATTTTGAAAATCTCCTTTCTGCAAATGCCACTACTATTGAAATAGTCAATATTATTTATGCATGGCTTGCATTTGGGAAATAATTGAGTTCTTTCAAATGCCTTAAAACATCTATAGGATTGTCAAATTCATTTGTTTGTAATGTGTCAAATAATTTCAAATCGATATATAATTCACTGGTTTATAACATCTAGAACGAGAAATACATAATTCACTGGTTTAAATTGTCTGTTTCAGTTTACGATGTTTGTCACAAATCATTTTCGAATCACTTATATGAAAAACGGTGTATAATTAAAAATAAAAGTTACATATTTAAAAACTACATCAAAAGATCTACAAAACTAGTGGTGACATAACTGTATTATTGTCTCAAATGACTAATAAAATTAGAGAAAGAAAGTCAGTAAAGTTTGACCTTTTGAATAATAACAAACAATTTAATTTGAAATAGGGGAAGATTTTTTTTTTAAAATTGAGATCTAAAATTCTTTAAATTTGATTTGGAAAAGTAAAAGTGAAGGAATATAATAGGAGGATGGTATTTGTTTGTGAAGGTTGAGGGGAAAAAAACAAGAAAAATTTGCATTAAATAGAAATAAAACATAAGTCATTTTCTAATGTAGGACTTAAACTTTTTTATTCTCTAAATAAAACTTAATAGTGTCCAGTAATGATGGAAATTTACTTTAATAATGACTAATATAATGACCAATGTCCTACATTAGAAATAAACACATACTCCCTCCGTTCTCAAAAACACTTCCTCTTTCATTTTTTCCACTTCCAACAAAACACTTCCTCTTTCTATTAAAAAATCACTTTTACCCTTACTTTTTCATACCCTACCTATCAGATCATACTTTTTCTCTAATAATCTATCCATCACATCAGGGGCAAAATTGGAAAACAACTATAATTTAACACTTCCTTATTTTTGCTCCAAATCAAAATGAGAAATCTTTTTTCAAACGGGGAGAGTATGATCTTATATTTAAAAAATCGTTATTATATTTTAGTACTCCCTATTATTTAAAAAAGTTTCCAAAAAACAAATCCTATTAGCGGTCACACATATCGTCAGGCTTTCCCATGAATTGAATTTGCTTCCAGAACACATCTAGCTTCCACATTGCGTGTTCTCACCAGCCATAGTTTTCCATCTGGGCGGCTGGCCTTTGTCCCACTCTTGTCCCCCCCTTGCAACCACTTTCCTCATTCCTGCTCCTCCTTCTCCCGACCACTTTCCCTTCACTTTGTCGTCTCAAACAAAACATTGTTTTTCTTTTCTTTTCTTTTTTTTTTTTTTGGGTAGAAGAAATGGCCCATTACATTACATCTGCTCCTTCATATAACACCCTTCACCAGTTGCATTGCATCAAACCCATATATATATATTGCTCAGCAGAAAGAAAGGAAAAGTCACAACTCTCTTTCTTTCTCTCTCTCTCTCTCTCAATCACTCCAATACTTGCAGCTTTCACTTTATTAAAAGCCAAAGAAATCATCAATTTACTCTTGTGGGAAATGGAACCGGCACATGATGATGACCAAGATCTCAATCTCAGAGCTACTGAGCTCAGACTTGGGTTGCCTGGCAGGGAAGAAGAGGATGGTGACAGGGAAATTGTTTCAAGTTCCAAGAAATACAACAAGAGAGCTTTACCAGAACCAGCTGCAGGGGAAGACTGTGAATCAAGATCTGATTGTGACGATGCCCACTCCCTATTACCTGTTTCCAAGTAAGTTGCATAAACATTTCCTTTTTTTCATTGAGTACCCAATCATTTAATTTAATTAAAAAAAAAAGAAGCTAAGAAGAATAAAAGATTGAGTAATTAATGAGATTAATTAAACTTGGAAAATGCAGGGCACAGATAGTTGGATGGCCACCAGTGAGATCATACAGGAAGAACAGTGTGCATCAGGCAAAGAAGGAATCAGAGGGTGAAACTGCAATGTATGTAAAAGTGAGCATGGATGGGGCCCCTTACCTTAGAAAAATTGACCTGAAAATGTTTGAGGGATATGGAGAACTGTTAATGGGTTTGGAGAACATGTTCAAACTCACCATAGGTGACTACTCCGAGAGGGAAGGGTACAAAGGGTCAGAGTATGCCCCTGCTTATGAAGATAAAGATGGTGATTTGATGCTTGTTGGAGATGTCCCTTGGGAGTAAGTTCCTTCTCTCCATCTTATCTAACCGAAATATATAAATTCCTTATTTTATAAAAAAAATTAATCATATGACACCCTTAGCTTATATATATGTGTGTGTGCTAATTAATTTGGGTTTTGTTTTGGCCAATTGCAGAATGTTCTTGTCATCATGCAGAAGGCTAAGAATAATGAAAGGAAAAGGGGCAAGAGGATTGGGTTGTGGAGTTTGACAACATTGATGACACACCTCACCACAAATGGAGTAAAACTATATATCAAAATGTGTGATCATTATTTTGTCTTTGATCTAAAGAGAAGAATATATATATCTATTGTGAGAATGAGAGAATCTGCAAATCTGGGTTCTCATGTATACAAATTATAGCTGGTGAACCATGGTGGTTCATGATCCTGTGGTGTTTTCTTGTTAGTTTTTAATATAGATATCTCTTGCAGTGCAATACAACACAACACACACACACACATAGAGTGTTACTTTGATTTTTGAAGCAAATGTAACAGAATTTCTTATTTTGTTCATCTGTATGTATTTATATATTTTTGTTGCTGATTGAGGAAAAGATTGTATACAATTTTCTATGCACATACTTTTAATAAGTTTCCCTATATCAGAGATCACTGAACGTTGCTTCTTATTCTCAACAACAGATCAACAATACTATGCTTAGAGAGAGATAAAGGTTTAATTTGTATGATATATAAATAAACATATGGCTTCTGGTTCTACATCTAATTCCAAAAGATTATTTTAACGGGAATAATTAGTAATAAGCAAATTAAAAATGGGTGTTGCAAAAAGGGGTATATGTTGAAATATCACTCACTAAAACTAAACTTGTTTGACCTTGTGCAAAGAGGAGAACTTGGAAGCTTGACAACCATCAATAAGATTACAACAAAATGACCTCATTGTTGTTGTTCAACTGGTCAAGAAGGGGAGGGGTGCAAAAGGGCATTAAGGCAAGCTCTATTCCTGTCTCCCAGCAAAAACATAGTGAGCAAAATAAACAATTTTTGTTAATTTTATTTAAATTAGCATTGATGAGAAATGTATTACTTCATCTTAATCTTATTGATTTTTTCATAAAATAATTTTCATATAAAAGTATAGTTAATGTATTGTTTTTTATATAATAACTTTATCAAAGTTACAAATCATTTATTTATTCGCACTCAATTCGATTGCAAAATATTATTCCGTACTACCTCTATCCAAAAATAAAAGACACAATCCAGTTTAGAATTGTTAACTGAGTTTATTTTCAAATCAATTTATCAAAAAAAATATTTTTAAAAAAATGTAATTTGACGTTGAAATTAGAAGAGGTTAGACAAAGTTGAAAAAAATACAAAATATAAAGAAATTAGTTGGAAGAAATTAGAAAAACTTAGAAGAAACCAATAGAAGTTGGAATGATTAAATCCACATTTCATTTGGCTATATTCACCCGTTTTTTTAATCGACAAATTTACCTTTGTTTAGAAAAAGAAAAAAATGAAGTAAAAGGCAAAGTTTTCAATTTCTTATATATAAAAAAATTTAGTAGAATAAGGGTTGGATTTAGCACCACCCAATTTGAAATTATATCATTGAAAGTAGCGCCGTGCAAGAAATAATACTAGCTCCATCCCAATTTTAATTACATATTGGGAGTTAGAAGGCAAAATCAATTTCGAGATGGAGTATGGGTCACATAAAGTTTTATGAAAATAGAAAAACTTTTTTTTGGAGGGAGTACAACAAAATAATCCCGATTCCCTAAGTATGATATGACATATACAGTCATAGACAACTAACGTTGTTAGGTCAGACCATTCATGTTGCCAGGTCATCAAATTAACGGTGTGAGACGTCAAAGGTTAACAATTTCCTTGGTCACAATTTATATCGTTTGATGTTGTTTATGGCGTTTGATTAAAAGTATTTTTATTATATTTGAAAATTAGGAAATTAAGAAATAAAAATTATATACAAAATATTTAAAAATTATACTAGAAGTTCTATGCGTGAAGAGGTGAATGAGTAACAAAAATAAGTAAAAATAATAATTAAAGCGTGATCAAATAATACCCTGTAATAAGCATAAATTTGAGCTGGAACGGAGATATTACAAAAAAAAATGATGCAAAGACTTTGATGTAGGCTCTATTCATTTCAGTTCTACGAGCAATTCTTATTATCCGTCATTTTCTAACTCCTACTTTTTTCCAATTTATTCTAAGTTCCTTCAGCTTCTTTTAACTTTTTCTAGTTTTTTCTAACTTCATCCTGTTTCTTCTAACTCTTCCTAATTCTTTCAACTCTTTTCAATTTCTTCTAATAATTATTTTAAAAAATTATTTATGTATATTTTTATATATTATTATTATTATTACTTTTGTAGAATCATTATGATCTCAATAATATAAAATCTTAAATTAATTAGGTTATAATTCCCTCTGTTGCAATGTTGCACCAATATTTTTCTATAAATGCATTAGAGTGAAGTTCTTTCAGCAAAAAAGTTTGGCAGACTTATGACCTCTTCTTTTGAGTACGAAAAACTAATTTCCAATTCTTTCTAGTTCCTTCCAACTCTTTCCAGTTTCTTCAAACAATAAATTAAATAGGTATTTATATATGGCTAATGTAAAATAACATTATATATCTAAATTTATAACATATCAACTCAAACACTGACAAGGATAAAGTCTTTTTTATTCTAAATTAGAATTTTCTTACATATTTATTTGAATGTCTATTTAATTGAGTAACTTTTTAACACTTAAATTCTTCCAACATTTTTCAACTCCAAGTTTTTTCCAACTCTTTTCAATTTCTTCCAACCTCTTCCAGTTTCTTACAACATCTAACCCCAAAATTAATGTGTCACAAGACCGATCAAGATGAACTTTTAATCCATTTCTCTGCACCTATTTAGCATCACCAAGGTTCCCATGACATTGGTTCCCAATGTCATGGGAACCTTTCCCATTTAGCATTTACAAAGACTAACTAACATCACATATATCTAAAACTACTCTCAGATTATAAATAAAATTCACTCCCTGTAATATCCAATCAAGAGATTCCTCAAGGTTTATTACCTCAACGGTCGTCGAAATGCACGTATATAGAGAATAATTTTCAACTATGTAGAAGAATTTGAAATTTGAATGGATGAGATAATAGTCTGTTCCAGCAAGATGGAAACCTAGCAGACTCACAAAGTATTTGATTTTAGATCATCACATCAAAATTACAACTACTGAACAAAGCCTTCTTCTTCTGTAATCTCAAGTATGTGTGTGAATATATCATCCATCTTCCTCTGTATTCGAGTTAGAACTTAGAACATCAGATAACCCCATAATCAATCTATAATAATCACCTAAAGTAAGGAATATTAAACTCACTGTGGTACAAAAATTCATATAATAATGAAATAAAAGAATCGGGTCTTGGCCTGTATAAAGCGGGGCATGTTTTTCCTTGTGACTAGCATAAACCCTATTCTCAGCCTCTGAATCCAATGATGTTCCATAGCAGAATCAGCTCTACAATCTAGTATTGGGAGGCTGGATGATACAAGTATATCTTCTATTACTCAGAATAACCGGCACCGTGCTTACAAGTTTTGGAAAGCTAAGTTTCCTTCTGAAGTGGCCTTGTGCTGCCTTCTTCTAAAGGTTTAACCAGCTACCCCCGATCTTCCTTCTTTTTCATGAAGAGGCACTCTCTGTTTGGCTCTCAGTAGGTATTGTTTCCTTATCCTGATCATTTTGAGCACCTGTTTGGGAGTCGACAACATTAGGGTTAGTCACTATTACCAATGAATCTCTCTGAGTTGATGGATTCTCCCTCTGGCTTGCATGCTCATTCTCCTTTACAATTGGACTTGTAGAGGTCACATATGATATGCCAAACCTTTGCCCATGAGCAAGTCCCGGGCAGAGTCCCTGTAAAGGAAACATCATGTATGGAAACTAAAAGTTCAAATATGCTGCAATTTAAATAAAGAGGCTAGAGAGATCCTAATGAGCAGTTCAAATAATGATTCAATATTGCATTGCCTCTTAATAATGATTCAGAACATTATGGTCTTACTGAAATGCAAAGTTCACCATGAGAGATTGAGAGGGGCAAATTATAAAGAGTAAAAATATATGCCTATATAGATTACAGTTATGAAAGACCATTTAAAGTAAATTGCACCACAATTTTGGAAAGATCTGAAAATTCCAAACTCCTCTACCCAATGACTCCAGATTTTGTAATCCACTAGATTGGTCCTCTTTTCGTTAAAAGGCACCGCATTAAAAAAAAACTTGTCGATATGAGCTTTTGGTTACGGGTTCTCCAACAAACTTTCAATATACTCCGCAGCTTTTACCGGTTAACCAAAAACATTGGTATTGGTTTTCTGGTTCCTCAACAACCTTACAACTTACAAGGGGTTTCTTGGATAGCCAAAACATTGCCTCTTAGATAATGCGATTATCTTATCAATTCTATGGAGTAAGTGTAGAATTAAAAAGTAAGACCAATACTCCCTCCGTCCCAAAATAAACTTCACAATTTCCTTTTTTGGTTGTCCCTAAATTAAATAAATATCACTTCTCATTCTTCCTATTTATGAATGAGATATGTGGCTCGTGTGGCCTTCAATCTCTTTCTTCTAAGTAAATTTTAACCACTCACTTTTAACTTTTCTACACTTCTCTTAAACACCGTGAAATCAAACACTGAAGTTGATTTCGGGACGGAGCGAGTAATCCGGAGTATATGATACTGCGTGTGAACTTAGCTTTGGAGTGTATACAAAAGTATGCTCACAATACTTACTGCTAAAGTGAGAGACGTTGGAAAGGCGCGAAAGATGATTATTGCTAATAAGGAAGCACGCTCATTGGAGATGTTTGAAAAAATTGGGAGAGTCTAGTCTATGATTCTTGTATAAAAGTAAAAAAAATACAGGAATTTGTTTGAAGATGACATTTTCCTAAGAAAAAGTGGAAAGAGGCACAAATAGAAGGAATCTTAAAAAAAATGTATTGAAATGAGTTTCTGACCTTAGCCAAGCCCAACATATTTGGAGATTTTTTATAAAAGCGGTCTAAAAAGAAGCTGGGAGGAGTGGAACCAAGGTTGGTTCCAGTGGAATTGGTTTCTGCAATGGGTGAAGTGTGCATTTTTTGTTCAAAATCGTTGTTTCTACAGTATGCGCCCAGGTATGAACAATGCTCATGTACAAGAGATATTTGAGGACTTGCAGGCAATAAGTGACCTTCAGTGCTGAAGATGTACCTTCAAAAGCAAAAACAATTCCCCAAATGTACAATGAGTGAGGGCAGTTAAGCTTTACTGGAGAAAGAAGTGTCAGACTGTGAAAGGATATTATAACAAATACAACGAAAATACGTAGCAAGTTACTTGTATGGGCCATTTTCAACTATGTTATCTGGACCAGCAGCCAAATCGAAAAGAAGCCACAAATATTTCACCTGCAAAGTTTTCAGAATTTAAGGAACGAAGGATGCTGAAATAATGAAAGCAACAACGCAATAACATCAAACTAAAGAACTCAAAAATGAGACCCCAAATATATTTTTAGAAACTTCAGAGTTCTATGCATAAGTAGTCATTTAATGAGATCACTCAACTGTTTCCTGTTCATGTCCTTTTGTTTTAATTCCATTATCCAAGTTTACTTCAAGAGGTCTTGCTAAAATTTGAAAGGCAAATTACAAAGAGAAATTACAGCCTTTTTTTAAGTAGCATGTAACTTGTAACTTGAAGTGAAAAAAGAAATCCAAGATTTAAAGTCTGATTAAATATGAAAGTGAACTTCCTACCGTTTCTGCTAAGAAAAAACTCTCCATACGATCTTCTTGTTTGTGAAACTCAACATCTGATATATGACAATATCCACAAGTGCACCGTGCACCATACTGCAAGCTTGTAAGTATGTCCCTTCCCACATCAAGATATCTACATCAAGGGGTTCGAATATTAAAGTTTCACATCAGAATTTAGAAGAACATCAAGATGTTAATTGCAAAGTTGAGCCATCATTAAAAGAAAAATTGAACTTTTTGAGTTCTAATTGTGACCATATATTAGTGCATGAATTATAACAGCCTAATTTTAAAACAAGTGAAAGAACTAAAAGTGCTTCTTACAGTAACATTTATAAGAGGAGTTCAGTGCCTGCCCCTGCATAAGGGGAACGTTTTCCTCTTGTAAATAAGGAAAAGAGACTTTAACACACATGATACCAACCTAGGATCCCTGGTAGCTTTAAAAAGCCAATATGTGCTCTCAATTAATTCTGGACGCAAAGGGTAACTTTTCTGACCTGGCTGAGACAAACAATAACAAGTCACTGTATAAAGAAAACTGCAAGATAAAATTGTAGAAAAGGTATCAACATATACAAGAAAATGAAGCCCATAAATATAAGCATACTCTATCGTCCAATTAAGTTCCTACTTTTAATAGCACAAATATTCAAGCTAATCGTTTGACCCCAAATCTAATACCTCAAAAGACTTTTTTGACCCCCCCCCCCAAAAAAAAACTTCAATCATCTCCTTGCCAAATACCCTTTAGTTTTGTCAAGGAACCAACTCAACCAAAAGCTCAAGCTTGTGGTTGTGGCTCAAGAAATGTTTCTTGTATTCTAACATGTCCCCTCACGTGCAGGCGTAGTCTTTTTCGAACATTGCATGTGAAACCTTAATATTTTTAAATTGGGTGGCGCTGAGATTCGAAACCGTTTTCCATCATCTCCGATGGAGCCAAAATTTCACCATTTTTTGGCTTTGGGGTGTGATGGAATAAATCAAAATGGATCTCTAAACTGTCTGCGCTTCTTTAATTAATGAAGTAGCAGTTAGTCAAGCAATGCAACTTTCGACGTTGAGCCGGGGGTCTCTTTGGAAACAGCCTCTCTACTTTCGAGTAGGGGTAAGGTCTGCGTACACACACCCTCCCCAGACCCTACTCTTGTGGGATTTAACCGGGTTGTTGTTGTTTGCTGAGATTCGAAACCGTGACCTCTTAGTCAACAAAGCTCCGATACCATGTCAAGGAACCAACTCAACCAAAAGCTCAAGCTTGTGG